CTGGACAAATGACTGTATAATTGGCGACAGTAGCTTCGGGTCCAGCTTGGCATCCGATGCCGGTTTCAGCACATAGCTGAGCGTTACGGCCACAAGCCAGGTGATACACATTCCGAGAACTGCATACCAATTGAAGGACATATCCAAAATGTTGAAACCAGAATCTTTTACGGCTTCCACCTTGATCGTGGCATTCAAGCGTGCAAGCGCTGATGTGGTCGTGGCAAGTGTGGCATTCAGGCCCGGGCAGTTGTCTACAGAGGTGGGCATAGTAGGGTAATGATTGCGCCCCCAACTGGCCACCACAATGACGGACATGCACGTAATGCTGCCAATGACGCCAGCAAGAGCTGCCTGTGAACAGAGCAAATATTAGTGGATATAGTCTCGATTTGTTGGATTTGATGGCAAATGCCGTTGGTACACACCCGACCATGTACCCTGGGCACCAACATGCCCAGCAAAAAAACGCCGCACACCGAGCCAAAGCTGACGCCGCCAATGGAGTAGACAATCTGCAGTATGGAGGCGAACTTCTCCACGATTATGCCGCCAAATATACAATAGACGCCGGAAAAGAAGACAAACAGCTTCATGATGACATTGGCCTTGTGCTCCGTATGGTGTATGTGGGGCTTGATATAGTCAAAGTAAACAATGCCGCCCAGCGAATTGATGCTGGCGGAAAGTGTGCTCAGCGCAGCGCTAAAGACGCAGGAGATGAAGACGCCTGGCATTCCGGTCAGATGACCAATAATATCCTGCACAAAATACGGCACCATTTTGTCCAGCTTGCTGACCAGGCCCTGGGCTAGGGGATCGCAGTCATGATAGCGAGCATACATCACGATGCCCGTAAAGCAATTGAAGCTCATGATGATGACAAAGCCCAGACCGAAAAGTACCAGCGCTCTGCAAGAATGCGGGATTAGGTTGTGTACGTGTAGGCGAACTTAGCAAATTGGTATAGGCTTTGTGTGTTACCTACCTTCTGGCTTTTGCTAGCGATGGCAGCGAAACGATGCGTTGCACACAGCTCTGATTGAGACCCACATAGCTGGTCCAAGCTATCACAGCCGAGGAATACACATTCCAGAACGTCGAACGTTCCGTGTGATTGAATGTGTAGCTGAAAATGGACTATATTCTAATAGCTATTCAATGGAGTAGTCGATGGCACCTACTTGACCTTCAAGCGACCGCCCTCGCCGGCAATGCGCAACACCTCGCCAAGGCCGCCCAATCGTTGGGCACCCATGATGCCCACCAGCACCACCGATACCACCATAATGCTTGCCTGCACCACATCTGTCCAGACGACTGCCTTAATGCCGCCCTAGTAAATAAAGTAGATAATGTTTATTCGAATTTCCCTGTGATAAGATATATACGATCTGCTTACGATCATTGTGTAGAAGACGCAGATGCTGCAAACGATCGCATTGATAATGTGCACATTATAGCCGGTTACTTGATAGATAGAATTGATAATATTTAGTTAGTCATAGGTATTAATTATATATATGTTAAGTAATGCAAACACAGGTTGTAAATAAATGTATGATTAAAAGTTAACTCAAAATAACTTTTCACTTTTTATTTAGAACTGAACTCGTCTTGCAAAAAGACACTCAAACGGGAACTGAACCATAGCTTTCTTTTTTAATGGTTCGATTTCAAATTAAAATCTTTTGAGAGGAATCCAGCCACAAGGCATAAATAACTTTGCATTATATAAGCATATTTGTGAAATGCCAATTTAGGGAAAACCACTTTCAGAAGGGATCCTAAAGAAGTTGGTTCAAAGCGCAAAACGAGCCAAAGACAATATGCTTTTCTTATGCAGCCTTATTATTTTTATTATTATTACTGGAATTATGATTTTTAAAAACAAACCCTATATGAATAGACTATCCTGATATGGCGAGTTCTTCAAGAAATGATAAGATGCATGCGATGGAACCTACCTTGCGCAAAAGCCAGGGATGGCAGAAATATGAAAATTGGCAGCATGAAGAATAGAGTCAGCACAAAAATAAAGGTTTGCAGCTTGCGGTTGGCACGATTAAAGCGCAACTCCAGATACTATTGGGGAAAATTCACTTAAATACAGTCACAAATTTAATGATGCTATAAATCTGAATCCCACCTCGTAGCAGTTGGTGATGTTGTTGTTGTAAAACACAGGTATTATCACATAGTTGAGAAGTGGTATAACCACCAGCATAGAGGCCACATTGAAGAACCAGTTAAATCCAAAGGCAAACATCTCCGCCGGAATGGTCATGATGGAAATGGCCGACAATTGGCTGGCCACCAATGAAATGGCTATGGGCAGCGTCTTCATGCGTTTGCCACCCATCAGATACTCATCCGTGGTATCGGCGCCCTTGGCAAAGAATCCAAAATAAACACCAATTGCCGCCGATATGCTCAGCATGAAAGTGAAGACTATATAGTCGGTCGTTTGGAACGTAAACAGCGAGGCGGCCAGGGTATGGGCCGTCGCATTTAAGTGAGCCGACATTGCAGAGGATAGATATATTAATCCGATATAAGTAAGTATTTTGCATGCACTTTCCGACACCGACACGAGTTGCTTAATCACAATTGATCTTCACATGGCGTCTACAGTGCTTTATATAAGTTTTTTGTCCTTTAGAAGTTTATCTTTAACTGTGATAATTTTTAAAACTTAGCTATCGACTTTATTATAAAAGCAGTTATCTTAACGATGCCATTTTACGAGTATAAGTTGATCGTCTAAGATTTTATCAGATAAGCCCCGACAATGATGATGACTCCGCAAATCTATTATCAGTCTAAAGTCGAGCCGGCAATCAAGCAACCCATTCATTGTTTTAGCCGTCGTCACACATCAAAATGATATCGCAAGTCATAATAAGATCGCAAAGTTTTTTCACTCGGGCTAGGCAAATAATGAAGCGGGCGCTGTTTATAATTAGAGTGTGGACTTAAAGACATTTGGGCTTATGTATTGCTGGAAAACCTTATCCGCAACACGTACATATATTTGGTTGCAATTGCTGTGACATAACACACACACACACACACACACACACACACAAACACACACGAATTCCACTTTACTGTTGCCGCCTGTCATCCTCTGCGGGTCGCATCAGTGCAACACACTTGTGGCACTTACCACTAACCACTTATGTGTGCCTCTATGTTGCCATAGTTGGACGTAACATGCATTAAATTGAACAAGTAGATTGAACTTAGCACGGGCTGACGAACATTGTATACCCTGCACCTTTCTTTAAAGTCTCCAAGATATGTACAAGATGTTGTTGTTTTTAATTAAAGAAGAATTGTGGCACAAATTATTTAGAACTGGGTCCGTTTAGTTAGGATCACGAAAATTAGTTAAGAAGTATACAGAATTAATCGAATTAATTAATAATAATAATCTTTCGTTTTCCGATTCTTATACCATTTTCAGGGCAAAGCAAATTGAGTCTAACTCATGAATGGGAAAAGCTATCCCAAAAGTTAAATATGGCTAATTTCATCATGTCATCCTGATCACGAAAATATATAGCTTTATAGAGAAGAATATATTTCCTTCTGCCTGCTGCATTGACTTGCAGGAAACATAATACCTATGTCCATATATTCGGGGTATATCGGATTATTATAAAAATCAAGCGACCGAAAGTTAATGCCTCAAGCTTGCGGCTCTAATGATATATATCTCATAGCACCAATAATTATAGCCAAATATACGTTGGTAGGGTATACAAATGTTAATGATGCCGAATGTTGGTTAAGTGGCTACGTCGCCTGCTGCTGCCCGCAGTCATCTTCATCGTGATCCATGTGTAATATGTGGTTAATGGTCAGCCCCGCGCGCTGCACTGTGACCCAATCGCAATATCGACTGCATCTGACGAAATCGGCTCTTAATGAGCGTCTGGCGCAAGACTTGAGCACTTGCCGTGTCTGCGGCGTTTTGGATATTGATGAGAGCTTCACAAGTCATGGCTACTGCAGGTTTTGTTGGTGGCGTCTTCCCATACAAAAAGTGAAAGGATATTTCAAGCTGTACGCAATAAGCTAGACACATTATGATAATGTCGAATTCGTTTAGACGCTCGTAAAATCAATGAGAATTCGAATTTGATTTTGGTTGTCATCGAACAGCTGAAACCAAGATTTTAGAATGTTGTTTAGTTTTAATTGCCAAATCAGAATAATCTAGGTCAATTGGCAGATGCATTTTGTAAGAAATTACAAAAATCGCCGAGAAACGCGCAACATCTTTGCCCGATTTTGAAAAGTGTACATAAATATTTTATGTTTTTTCCAAGTATTATAATAATTAAAAGATTGAATATTTTAACGGTGACAAAATTTACTATTTTTTTTATTATTTTCATATTTTTTTTTGTTGTTTCTTTGTTTGTTTCATAAAAATAAAAACACTTACATGCTAATAATGCGTTATAACACTGTTTTGTGGGGAAGAGAATGTGTGTTTTTGTTGTTTGATACAAAAAAAAGTGTTGAGAAAACTATTTACAAAAAACAAAAACGAATTTCACCCCGAAATTCGGTTACCTCTCAAATGCCAAGGCGAAATCGCATTTTGAGTTCAAATAGAAAGATAGTTTTGAGAAATTATACAGTCACTGAGTCTGGGTCTTCTGGAGGAAAGGTGAGATAGCGCGAGATTTGATGGGGGATGGATGGTAGGTGAATGAAACGGTGGATGGATTCGATCGTTCACTCTACATCACTAGTCGAACTACGTTTTCACTCAGAAGGTGTTTCAATAGGGAGGAGGGGGCGTGGCGCGCACGAACTTTGAGCCAAGTTCAAGTACTGGTTGTTGGTGAGCCCATACTTTCATAAATTCTTGTTGATTTCAGTTAATGTTGTTGTTGTTGTTGTCGTTAGGTCAGGCTGTGTCGATTGATGTCGTCCTTTCCGTCGGTATTCATTTTTTGGCAGCAAAAATTTGTTTTAGATGTGAGTCACTTGGCTTAGAAGGGCGCACCATAGCTGCCGCTGGGCCTTGAGGGAGCACCATACGAGCCAGATGGAGCACTGGGATAGCCACCGCCGGTGCTAGCCTGCGAGCTCTGTTGCGCAAACTGAGCCACCTGGATGGCCTGACGCACGCCCTCAAGATCGATGCCAACAACGCGACCGCCTCCATTGCTGGGCGCACCATAGCTGGTCGAGGGTGGACCATAGCTAGAGGATGGTCCGCTTGGGTAGCCACCACCACCGCCACCGCCGCCGCCGCCGCCACCACCGCCCTGTTTGCTCTCCTCATTCAGCAGAATCTGACGCACCTGCTCCAGCAGCTGGGGATCAACATTTTGTCCCTCCGATGTCTGGAAGCCACCGCTGACGGCTTGGAATCCACCGCCACCACCGAACGAGGATCCGCCGCCAAAGCCGCCGCCAAATCCACCGCCACCGCCGCCACCACCGCCACCACCGCGGGGATAATTGTAGCCCGATGGGGGCTCAGCAGCGGCCAGAGCAGCCAGAGCAAACACTAAGAACTGTTGGCGATAGGGTAATCCAATGGTTATCCACAGTGTAATCCACACTTCTTCTTTCGGCTACTTACCACTGAGAAGGAGTTCATAGCAATGAGTTTTGTGGTGTATGTGTGGGGGAGAGAAGTAAAATTAAATTATAAGGCAAATTTAGTTGCTTTCGAGTGGGGAGCCAGCGACTGAATGCATTCCAAATGCCACGCAGGCCCTCTTTATACTCCACACAACGGCCGCCGTGTGTCTTCATCATGCGGTCTGCACTCCGCCTCCTCGCCCAAGCCGTTGCGCCGAGTCAGTTTCATCGACTTCGTCGGGCCAACATCATTATCGGCAACTTCGTCTACTTCATGATCGCTAACGACAGCCAAGTCATTGGACGCTAATGATCATCACAGCACACACACACACACACACACACGCACACTCACATAAGAGTTGTTGTTGTTAAAGCTTGTACCTTCATCTTCAGCGTCGACTTGTTTTTGGCGGACGACCTGCGGCCAGCGCACAACTCCAACTCCAATTGCTGGCATCGCCTCTTGTTTCCCACCATAAAGCAAATATAAAAATAAAAAATAGATAAATAAATATAAAAAAAAAAAAACAAAAATAAAGCTGAAAAAATCGAAACACTAAAATGTCGCTAACATTTTTAGTTGTCTGTACTTGCATTTGAAATTTCTTCGGCACTTTCCTCGATTTGCACGTTTTGGTGGCTCTTTCGACATTTTTGCTTAGACAGCAACATCGACATCTCTCGACTTGACCAGGAAGTCATTTAAGCATCCATTGATTTGCAAAAGAAAAAAAACAACCATCGTTGATTAACCCAGACAGTCGCAAATGTCAATTTCCAGCTAGCTATATTTCATTTATTTGAGTTCTTCGATCCCCGAGATCAACTTTGACTACATCTATTTCCACCTGAAAGCCCTCGATCTGTAGCATAAGTCAAATAAAAGTAAACAACGGGCGCCACAATTTGCACCTTGTGCACGATTACGAAATAAGTTGTCTGAGAAAATGTGCTATATAATTTCCATGTAGAGCACTGGGCCGCAGTCCACAGACGAACAGCCAGACAGACATATAATCAACTTTGGCCGATTTCCCAAGGAATTACATTAAGGTTTCAATTATTTAAATTCACATAGCAGAACTGAGCAGCAGCTGCTCGTCTGGTAAAAGTTGTAGTTGTACAGTTAAAAAAGAAGACCAAAAGTTAATGATATGGTATATGGTATATGTGTGTATGTATGCATGTGGGTATGGATGTGTGTGTGTGTATGTGTATTTTTTACTCGTAATTCGAACAAATGTTTCACTTCACGTTCGCACTCTCCATTCGCGTTATGTCTGATATTTTATTATACTCGTTTCCAAAGTGAAAAGAGTATATTCGGGTTTATATTTTTGCAATATCAACACTATATTTTAACCGTCTTGAATGACTTGACAATTGGAATATATACTTGTTTTTATCTGCGTCACAAAAGGTGTTATTATTATGTGGGGGCTTTGCAAATCGATGCCTAAAATGTAGAGTGACCAAATTCGATCGATTGAAAAGAGAGACCAAATTTGTAATGAGAGCTAAAGAGTGACCAAATCTTAAATTAAAACTACTGTTGAGGTCCTTCGAACATGGACTTGGTGCGATCTCTCAGTAAATTATATCTGCCTTAAACTGTTATCTGACTCTGAACAAGTATTGGGCAGTCGGTTGGATCCGACTGTAACATTCTTGTTTATTATGCATTGGGTCTTCCCTGACGCGCTTTAAAGTGACATAACGCCTGTGTAGGAGACGATGATTCATTGGCATAGAGAAATATGCGAATGATTTAAACCCTCTAAGCAACAGACGAGCCTGCTCGCGATTCTGTCAGTAGAGCAGCACACACAGCTGATCTAACAGATCAGTAGGCGTATACGTAATATATTTTACGTTAGCTGTCTCAGTCGAGCTGTGCGTATTATGTCAACATGAACAGCATTGTGACGTGCCACAATATAACTGTAGAGGCTGTCAAGCGCATAAAGGCGAAGAAAAAAATGAAAAAGAAAAAGATGTGGAGCACAAGCAGCTGAAAATGAAACCGAATCCCAATCAAAGTGCCAAGTGGCAGTAAATTGTGGTAAATGAGGTTTATTTACTTGTACATCTCTCAGGTAACTTTCGCAAAGTGCAACGGTTTTTATTGGAGGGGAGAGAAAGAGAGAGAGAGATCTTGACTCTTGTGCGCCGCTGCGTTTGGTTTAGGGCTTATTGAAAACCTTCACGCTTCAAAGTGAAGGACTTCAGCGGCTGCGTGCGGTGTTGCGTGGCGGTGGCGGCAATGACAACAGCGGCACGACTCCGAGCCCAGCTCTTGCAATTTGGTGGCAACAAGATGAAAGTCAACACTTAACACTCTCAACAGCAGCGGGAACAGCGGAGGCATCAGAGGCAGCTCAAGCTTGAGCCCGACTTCAATGACAATGCGCTAAATCATTTTTTTTTTTTTATTTCGTCTTGTCTCTGTCTTAAATTATTTTTATCAGCCTGTAGTATTGTTGTAGCTACAGCTGCTGCCGCTGTCACTTTAGGTTTTAATTTGGTTTATTGTGGTGCTGTCTTGAGCTGCCTTGTGAAGGTCTCTCTCTCAATTTATTTCGTAATTGTCTTCAGTTTTTTTTTTTCTTTTTTAACTCGCACTTTCAGCCTAGTGCGAGCTGTAATTGGAATAATATGGAAGGGCTATAACATTCGTGCCGCTTTTTCCTGCTTGGGGTGTCATTCTAAATTACTAGCTTGGTCACACTGGAGGATCGGCCTGGCCTGGCCTGGCCCCGTTTCTCTTTTGCGTTTATTTTTGCATGTTTTGTTTTGTTATCGTTTTTGGTGCGTTGCTTTGGCCATTCGCATCGTTTTTAAACGATTTTTTTTTTTTGCAACTTTAATGAAACGCTTTATTGCACGCCACATTATATTTATGTACATACGCTTTGTGTGCGTCTATCTGGTCAAATCCATCATTAACACGTCCACTAGGTCAGCGTAGACGCCGCCGCCGTTTCATGACTTACATTTACTTTTGGTCTGCTTTTTTATTTTCTCTGCCTAATGGCGGCCTAAGTAGATGTTCATTATCCGCGCACATGTGTGCGTGTGCATTCGTGTGAGTGCGTCTGTGTGTGCGTGCGTTGGTAATGGTTATGCCATTTTAATTGGGCCAGATAGCGGCTGGAAAATACAACAAAGTTGGCAAATTGACTGAAGACGCGGCTAAATTATCAAATCGTCGTTTGTCTATGCCAATTGATGGATAATTCGATAAGGCTTTTATTACAAAATCTATTTAGTTGTTTACTTATGTATGTATATTTTGGTAGAGAGCAACGCCCCTGTCAACAAATGTGAACAGCTATTGATGCCAAAACAAAATAAAAAACAATTATTTGGCATTGATATTTTATATTCGTTTAATCTGATTCAAAAAATATAAAGCAATACAGTATATGTAACAAATACTTTTAAGATTTTGTTAACCAAAACTTGCCAAATATTCGTTAGGCGCAGCTGTCTTAGTGCATTTAGTGCTGCCAGATCACAAAAAAATTTGGGAAACGAGCTGTTAAATGCAATATTGATTGGATAAGAAAATTTAATTTACTTGCTCAATATCATGGTACTATTTAATTAGAAGATCGCACAACGCAGTCTCTAAATCTTTACCAGATTATGTCTGAAATATATTCGTTTTGTTTGCTTGCCAATTGTTAACTAAATTTATGCAGCTGTGTGGCATCTTTGCTAAAACCGTGATTTGTGATAAAGAGAAACCCATTTTTCAACATCTCGAAAACTGGCGAATCATGTGTAAAAAAAGCGGATTATTCAAGCATATAAATGACAGGGGGGTAAAAATCGGTGACAAATGCCGAGAATATCGCAAGATGTAATTGCTGCTGATTAAGATGAATGCGCTAAAACCGTAGGCACAAGGCATCGGGCAGATTCAGCTGGCAAACAGTTACATAAGGCGCCAACGCAGAAGAGCCCCTCGAGCGGTTGTGGCAGTAGCAACAACCTCGACGTCTTCTTTCGTTTCCTCAAAAAGACAAAACAAGTTTTATTTGTCCGACAACGACTTGAACCGTGCTCCTCGCTTTATGTAAGTCAAGCGTGGAGACTGATACAGCCCCGAGCCCCGAGCCAGTCGCTGCCACAGCAGCAACAAAGACAGCAAAGACAACGGCAGCCGGCATGCAGGCAGATGAGTTGTCCATGTTGCAGCCAGCGCAACCAGAAAACGTAAGCGGTAGCTGTAGAGGTGCACGGGGGTGGCTCGGCTAGGCAAGTGAAATTGCATATGCAATGCGAATTGAAGCTAGACAAAAAACAACAAATATAAAAGATGCTGTGAAAACCGAACGTGCATAGAAATGCTGAAATTGTTTGGGAAATTGCTGCGACACGTTTTGCCATGTCTGGCAGGCAGACTGACTTGCTGGAACTCGAACTCGGCCCGTGGCTTCATGTCTGGCTTTGGCAGCGGCTGGGAGTTGATTTGCCACCACACCACCAAAACATGTCCACTCTCGGCAGCCATCTCTGGCAAGTTCTGCGCACAAACTTTAGCCTTTGGGTGCCTACATTTGATTAGCTTATGCAAAGATAGCAGCTGCGCCTCAATGGGGACTCGCCTTTGCGCAATGCTCATGCAGCTAGTTTATGGCCATATGGCCAGTAGAGATTCTCAAGGCGGCAGGCCAAAAGTAAAAGTTCAGGCAGGTTAATCACAAATCACAAATCGTTTGCCAACTCGGACACCCTGCTGGTCACAGCGTGCATTTTTTATCAGCAGCTCGATTGTGTTCCGAAATTATAGCATGATTTTATATAGCGTTAATTATGGCCAAATCTGGCTCATCCGCTAATCATGGCCATAGGTGCCAGCCGTCAGTGAGAGATGAGACTCAATAAGCTATTTGCTATTTTTACGCTTTCTGGCTGATGTATAATTATAATTAATTGACTTTTGTTTATCTGAATAAGTTCATTAGCAGCTGTAAAGAAAATGACCTCTATTTTGATGCATTCATCAAATAAAATATCTCTAAAAGTTTTGCAATTTTTCTAACGGGCAATCGAAAAACAGGTAAATCATACTTTATTTATCGTTTTATAAACGATTTTATTTGACTGTTTGCTCAATAAATTTTGTTATTGCTTAACGTAAACAATTCAAAGAACTGTTCGGGGATTGGTTGACGCAAAAGCAATGTGACCGAAGTATACCGATACGCTGCATACTTTTAGGCGGTGCCAATGTGCTTGTTAACCATAAAGCCACAACTATTCACTTAATATTTAGAAAATATCGTTTCTATCGATACTATGCAGCATAATGAATGTAAGAATTTTTTTAAAGTTTAGAGAGTTTTCGTTGACAAAGCAAGCTAGCTTGTTTAATCGCCGTTAAAAAAACAAAAACAATTTTAACGTTGATAACCAAATTTAACGTGCACCTAACTTAGCGAGAGTCGGTCACACTGATTTTACAACAGCTGACTGTGCACGAACCTGTGAATGGCCGGACGCCATTACGTTACGTGCTGACGAGTCGTGTACGTGTACAATAAAAACAGGGGAAAAAAAAAACGAAAATATATGTAAAACACACAGAGAGAGAACAATCAAAATTAACCGTGTCGATGTCGGAACGCTAAAAAGTACGAAGCAATAAACTTAAAACATCTATATCTGACGTTCACGGAAATAGACCAGAGACACATTCAACATTAACATCTTTCTCGAGTCGATCAGCCAATTGGCTGGCTTTGCAACCAACTGCGACAACATGCAGCTGCTAATTTCAAGTGTTTGCATGGCGCTGACCAGCGCCGTAATTGGCAACGCCTACTACCAGAAACAGCAGTTCTACCCGGCCGTCGTATATATCACCAAATCGAATGCATCCATGGCGGTGAGTGGCAAACGCATTTGTTTTCCCAACAACAAAATAAAATTATAACCACAATGAATTTTCAATATTTACAGGTAATCTACATACAATTTTTTGTGATAGTCTTTATGTTTGGCAAGCTCTTGCGCAAGGTACAAACACTTCTCATATATAAATATATTAATATCGGTTCGGAGTTTTGATAATTATGGCTTATTGCAGATATTTCTGGGCACGCTGCGTGCCGCTGAATTTGAGCATCTGCTTGAGCGTTTTTGGTATGCACTGACAGAGACCTGTTTGGCATTTACTGTGTTCCGGGACGACTTTAATCCTCGCTTTGTGGCCCTTTTCACAGTGCTACTATTTCTCAAATCATTCCATTGGCTCGCTGAAGAACGCGTTGACTTTGTAAGTGCTCAACGAGCGTCGGCAACCAGAACTTGTGCATATTTATTACACCGGAGTTTTTTTTTTTTTATAGATGGAGCGTTCCCCAGTACTGGGCTGGTTGTTTCACATACGTGTCGGCAGTCTGCTAACCATGCTGGGCATACTCGACTATGTGCTGCTTATGCATGCCTACAACTCGACCCTTGTGCGTGGTCCGACGGTCCAGCTGGTGTTTGGCTTCGAGTATGCCATTCTGCTGACGGTCATCGCCAGCACGGCCATCAAATATGTGCTACATGCTGCAGAGATGCGCACCGATACGCCCTGGGAAAATAAGGCCGTATTCCTATTGTATACGGAGTTGGTTATTGGTCTCATTAAGGTGGTGCTTTATCTGCTGTTTGTTGTCATTATGGCAAAGATTTATGCATTGCCGATGTTCGTCTTCCGACCGATGTTCTTTACCATACGCAATTTCCGCAAGGCGCTGAACGATGTCGTTATGTCACGTCGCGCTATTCGCAACATGAATACTTTGTATCCAGATGCAACGCCCGAGGAGCTGCGACAATCGGACAATATCTGCATCATTTGTCGCGAGGACATGGTGAATCACTCAAAGAAGTTGCCTTGCGGCCACATCTTCCATACAACGTGTCTGCGCTCCTGGTTTCAACGCCAGCAAACCTGTCCCACATGTCGCCTCAATATACTGCGTACACCAACAGTTAATTCCACAGCAATGCCGCGACCAGCTGACGAGCCTGCAAATCCAGTAGCTCCAGCTGCCGCCCAGCCAGCAGCTGGCGCAAATGTTGCTGCAAATATCCCAGCAGCAGCACCAGACGTTGGTCTGCCGCGTCCAAATGGTGCAGCCGGACAAAATGCAGCAACACCCAACTTTTCAGACATATTCGGCGATGCCAGTGAGTGACTGCCCTTTCTCCTTAAATATTGGATATTTCATTTACATATATCTCTCACCTCCAGATAACCTAGGAAATGGATTTCCAAATCTAGCTGGGATTCCACCGCCGCCCATGCTGTCGCCATTTATGATGCAGCCACCATTTCCATACTTTACGCCTCCGATTGTACCGCCACCGCCAATGCCACAGGACCTAAACACTTTCAACGAGGAAGAACTGCTCGCCATGGAGGGCAATTTGCGCCAACACGTTCAAGAACGTCTTAAGGTAAATATAAAATGTTTAAATTTGTTTGCAATATCCCGCTAATCTGCAATAACATTAAGATGCTACGCAATATTTCGCTAATGGTGGACTCGGCCAACATCCTGATGCAACAATACCAAGGGATAATTGCGCGGCTGCCACCGCCCATACAAGTGCTACCACCAGTCCCAGAAACAGCGGCTGAAAATGTGCCCAATATAGTACCAGTGGCAACTGCAGCTGCAGCTGCAGAAGCACCAGCAACAGAACCAGTGCCGGCAGTGAGCAGCCCCACAGCTTGTGATAAACCCAGCACATCAAGAGCAGCTGCTGCTGTCGTTGCTGAAGATAAGCGGCAAGTCAGTGTTGCTTCAAGTAACCCTGTCTCAGAAAAAGTCACTATTGAAGATTTGGGCGCTGAGGAGGATGTTGTGCCGTCCACAGATGCTGCATGCGGGGATGTTGATAACGAGGATAGCTCCGAGCTTAGCGAGTTGCGAAAGCGACGTTTGAAATTCTTAGAGGAACGCAACAAATCACCAACTAGTAGCTACCAAACAGATTAGAATTTGAAGAACTGAATTTAATCAGCAGCGGCAGCCTTCACGCCCACCTCGCTATCACACGTACATCCAGATAATTCGATGTGTATTCTATGAATGGATATTGATTTAGCTTCTACTACATATTGACCTTATCTTTTACAAAATTCCTTTGACTTTGTTGTGTTGGCATGGTTTTCAATATGGGGAACTGTTGATGAGTGCGTTGACATTGTAGCAGGCTCGCATATATAAAACGTTATCCGTGTGAAACGTGGGGGGCTATGATAAAGCGGGGCGTGCAAACCCAATATATACCAATATATATTGTGTAAAAAAAAAAAAATAATTTAGAAAAGGGGAAACTGATGATTTATAATTAATATTATTATATGTGTATAATTAATGTGAAATATAATTAAAACGAAAAGACGACATGAGTTGGATGCTATTTTAAGAGTACATATATAATAGTAAGAAATAATTTAAGCACGTAAAACTACACATAAATAACAACTGTGGAACGCCTAGCGCCCCTCGCATGAAAGATCTGCATTTGCAAGTTTCCGGATCAAATGCGCGATTCGATTTCCCGGAACTCGCCAGGATCGGTGAAGTGCACAGTCAAAATGTAGAACAAAGAGGGAAACGGCACCAGGCACAGCAACGCATAATGGTAATTCAAGGAGCAGATGCCAAAAGCAAGCAGCAGCCAGTGAACAGCTAAAGTAAAATATAGTTTAAGATTCATCCGATTCTAACTGCCACAGACGACTTACAAATAATGACAACATTTTTGACATCCCACACAGACGACAGCAACAACGCCTTCTGGGTTTGATCTAGCTTTAAAGAGTAGTGAATGGCGTTGGCCACCATTGACATAGCGATACTTAGATAAGGAAACGAATAATCTAAAAAAAATTAAGTCAATATTATGAGCTGCACCAAGATAATTTGGTTGACTTACAAATAAGGCCACAGCAGGTGCCATGAATTAATGTCAGCAGTGGCAGAAAATAGAGTGCTGAGTAAATGGGCGCCTTGCCGCGCACATCCATCATGGAACTGATCACGGGCCGTATAAGAAACATATTGAGCAAACACAAAAAGTAATACACCAAAACAATTGTTTGCCTGCACATATAAAAAGGTATTTCATATAAAATTGTAGAGTCTTTTGCCATTGACTTACAAGGGATAGACAGCTTCCTGGGTGCAATGATACGTGGTTTCATAGTTGGGATTGGGATTATAGAACAATGTGTACCAGTCGGTAAGTTTCCGCACTTCGCACGAGTACAAACGCAATTCCCACATTGGCTCCATGAAGAGCGTGGACAGTATTGCCGCAAGTGCCACCTCAATGAAGGCGCTGGCTGTGAGGATTAATTGCTTGCGCGAAAACTTTCGATCTTTGGCATCCAAGTCAATAAAGAAACAGTGCATCATAAGTGGTAGCATGGTCATAAAGCCTAAATACAGCCACGAATAGGTGGTGAGTTCGTCCCGACACGGCGTACACGCATAGCTGGCGTTCACCTTTAACAAAAACAATGCAATAGTAAACCAAAACAAAACAACAATTTAGGCAATATACCCGTGATCCTCTGGGACAAACACCGCAGCTGCTCCAACTGCCATTTTCTAGCAGTGATCTACCACAATAAATGCCGGGGCAACGATCCAAATAATTGTACATCTTTATATTAAAGTGGATTATTATTTTTTCTTGCTCGCTTGGGAGCAATGTTTTTTGTTTCACCCAACACTAACATACAGCTGTGGGCACCCAAATTCCGTAACATTTGAGGAAATGTTTTTAACAGTGCATCTCTGGAAAGCAGCCGGTACTCGTATTTTGTTTTTGTAAATATCAAAAAATTAGACTTGCGATTCGGTGTGAAATGGCAAACAATTTGTTCAGAGTACAAACGTATTTCATCTGTCTTCAACTTTAATTAAGAAACGAGAAATTATTTCCAAATTGAATTTAATCGCTAACCGGCACAAAATGACTGTCTTTAAATTTATATGATAACATTGCCAAAGGGTATCTGTAACAGAACAGCTGTCCTAACATTCACTATACATATTTCGATACTTTAAAAAATTACTGAGCGTAACTGCAGTTATCATTCTTAAGATTATTAGCAAGCTGTATTTCTAACTGTTGCTGACTTTATTTTTTAACGCTAAGAGTATTCAAAGCTATTCACCCACAACCAAGACATAAAGGGGAGGGCGGTCGATAATGACCAGGGGTGCAAGATGTTTTGTGCCGTCGATGTTAAATTTAGGCAGGTCGACAATCGACCGGCTACTATAATCTATCGGCCGTCTACACAAGTAAAAATAATAATTAACTCTAATATACGAATTGGAAGTAGCTAGTAAACTAAAATAATTTATATAAATTTAATAGGCAATACGCCAGCAAGTAAAAAAACAAACATCAACATTTGCAAAAATTGGCCATCACCAACGGAGACGCCATTTTGGCTATCGGCCGGCTGATTTGTAAAGCTTAGGAGAGCCAGCCAGCAAAAATTGCAAAAAAAAAAGATACATAATTAGTTTTTAACATTTTGTGCAACAACTATGACATTCTAACAACCAAGCCCAAACCAAATGTGCGTACATATATCGTGGCAAATTAGTGCGACAGTGTAAATTAATGCGTATATTAACGAAAACGCACAGTGTTTTTAGGGCGGATGCACAAAATGGTGAGTTGTGCAAAAGCAAAATGATTTGGTGACTACATTTGTATGTGTATATGTGTAGCTTCGCTAATATGTGTGTGCTAATGTGTATGTTGGATGTGAAAAATGTAGCGAAACGTCAATGTCCTGCAATACTAACTGCAAATTGCAAATATAATATCAGGTTTCAGCAGAAAATGACTATTTAATCACCCGCCCGCCGTCGTAATTCTGCTTACACAAATTCCAATTGGATTTGATATTCGTTTGCCCTGCGCTACACTTGTGCGGGTCTATGCCCTCCCCCTACCCTTTCAAACTGTGCTGCACTGCCTATGTACATATATGCATATATGAATGTACAAATATGTATGCAGTGTTGACAACGAACAATTCGTTGCTCAAATGATAAGTTTGCACGTCAGTTGTCAGATTGAAAAATAAAAGTTTTGAACTGCTGAAATCGAAGAAGAAGCATAAGTAGGAGCAAACGAAAAATACACAGGACTGGAGCTCGTCGTCTTTGGTAGTAAAATAAGTGGTTGCTCTTTAAACATTTGTTCTTATGGTCCCCGGCGCTTTTGCCGGATGGGATGGGGTGCCGTTCCACGGATATCCAACGCAGCAGGCAGTGATGTAATTTTTGAGAAAAGCAAAAATCTTCTTTGTTTGGCTAACAAAAAAGAAAATAATAACAAATAAATATAAGCAGGAAAAGAACAACGTAAAACGGCAACAACAACATCAAATTAAATTCACACTGTCGCTGTGTGTATGTAAGTGTGCGAGAGAGTGTTGGTGTGCGTGTGTGAGTGCTCATATGCTCACATATATTTGGCCACTGCTCGGCTCCCTTCGCCGCCGTTGCCTGACCCCCGTCTATTAAATAATATTGATTTTTCATATTCCAACCCACTCTCAAACACTCTCATGCCACAATTTGCGCTCGCTCTTTTCGTTCGTGCGTGCGCCAGTGTGTGTGTGTGTTTGTGTGTGTGTGTGTGTGTGCGAGTGTATTTTTTCGGTCTCCTTTGTGCGCTTGTATTCATTTTTCTATTTCTTCTTTTTTTCTTACTTCGTTGCAGTTTATAGATTTTTGCAATTGTGTCCGTTGAGCAGAAATATGTAAACTAAACGCAGCGCGCCGCAAACAGCAGCAGTGCATGCAAAAACAACAACAATAGTAACAACAAAAACAACAATAACAACAACAGAAAACCCCGTTTCTTATTGGGATAACAACAACAACAACAACAGCAGCAACAATAATAATAATTATAAGGAGAGAAAATAAACAAAAACCAAGAAGAAACATAAAAAAAAAAAACGGTTTTCAAACATCGTTAAACAATAGACCGAGGCAAAACAGACGCCGACGCCGACCAACAGTGCCTATGTACATTGGTTACAAACATTATTCTTTCATTTGATTACTTACGCAAACCCAAAACAATAATAAGGAGCAACGGTGTAAACAGAAGTGCGCCCCTCTCTGTCTCTACGGAACCAGGACTGCCATAGCCATAGTCAATAATCAAAGCCAAAGCCGCCCAGCGTAGACTTCTGTAGAATTACGATAAAACTCAGACACACCCACACCCATACACACACATACACACACACACACACTCTCTCACACCTGATAAGCAGCCAACATAATACAACAAACGACGACGGCGCTAAGCAATTGTGACGCGGGTGCAGCCACTGGGCGCAACAATGACATTCGATACGCGCCGGCAAGGCACAGGAACTGGCCAAGCCACGACCAACAACAGCAGCAGCAGCACCACCACAACCACCACCACCACTACCACGAACACCACAACCACCACCACCACCACCGCTGGCATAACGAGCACAGCTCAAGACGCTGGCACGGGCACAACAGCAGTCACAACATCGAGCATGTCCAGCAGCGGTGGCGATACCAACAATAGCAATACGAACAGCCAGGATGGGGCCCAAGTTACGGATGCCCTAACAGAAGCAGGTGGCAATGCTGTAGAGAGTGCCGCTACAGTAATGTAAGTATTTTACCATTTACACATAATTATTGTTAATAACCTTAATGTATTAACTGCGTAGTTAATGGGATTGAAAGAAACCGGGAATTCGCTAAAACTTAACATATTCCAAACGTTCTCTTATACAAATAGACTGTGAAAGCTCTCTTGAGGGATAGCTTCCCTTAGGCAAACGTCTCCTTAAGCCAGTTTAATTGGTTAGTTCCAATCTTGTTTCCCTTTCTATATCAAACACAGTTACCCAGCTGAGCTTACGCTCTTTTGACCTGAATATGGACTATATTTTGGGTGCAGAAACTAGCCTTAGAACGGAGAAACAACTTTTTAACTTGAAACAATTTGTGGCAGGACAGAAATACTGGCATCGTAGCTGAACACGGGTTCCACTTTGGGCAGCCCCTTTTTGAATAACATTCTTGCAATTATGTGCTATAAATTGATAGAATTATTAGTTAATTTTTATTAAGCTGCAGCCGTAGCTGTAGCTCTTTGCTAATTGTTTAAGTGTTTGTCCCATTAGGGCAAATCAATTCGAATCACGAGTCTTAAAACACACAAACACACACACATACGCAAAGTCTGTGTGTGCGTGCTTTAACTATGTAGATGTGCAATCTAAATAATAAACACGAAAGCCGACGATAATAACAAAACAAAGCACAATTATCGCTTATCTACTTACGGGGCCAGGCAATGACTCATACACCCCTCCACCTGCACGCGACCCTCAATGAAATAGGCCGAAAATAGAATCGAAATCGGCAAAAAGTTAATATTTTCTTGTTTTTGCATTATGTATAGGACGCCGGAAAAGCTGATAGCGTCATTTCCAACCGCCAAGTTGCGCTCCCTAACACAAAAGATATCCAATCCACGCTGGGTTGTGCCCGTGCTGCCCGAACAGGAGCTGGAAGTGCTGCTTAATGCCGCCATTGAACTGGCCCAAGCTGGTAAGTAATCCATTTTCGCAAGGTTTGTTCTACATCTAAATTCCTAAATACTTGCTTTTAGGTGTGGATCATGACTGCGAGCCGTGTGTTGAGTTTTATCGCAATGGCTTAACCACATCCTTTGCTAAAATACTTACCGATGAGGCAGTCAATTCGTGGAAGTACAATATACATCACTGCATTTTGTTGTCGTGCGGCAAGCTGTTGAATTTAATTGCGATACACATGCAGCGCGATAATCCCTACCTCCTTGATTTGCTGGCCATTGTTTTTGATCCCGATAATAAGTTCAACACGTTCAATGCGGTACGCCAGCCGGAGTGCTTTGCGGCGTCTGATTCTATTTGGGGTGTGCTGGACAGTAATAAGATGTATGCGAAACCGCCGCCAGAGCCAAAGAATCCGCGCGGCTGGCTAGTCGATCTCATAAATCGCTTTGGGCAGTTGGGCGGATTTGATAATCTGCTCGAGCGTTTCAATAGCGGCCTGGAGTTGTTGAAACGCAATCAAAACACAAAGGGTGGAGCAGTCAAGAGCATCGCATCCAATGAGAGCGTGGGCGTGGAAGGCGCCGGACACGACAATCGACTGACACTGGCGCTCATACACAGCCTGCTTCGACCTTTTGGCCAATGTTATGAGCTGCTAACGCCAGCTACCATTGCCAAGTACTTTATGCCCACGTGGAATGTGGTGCTGGATCTGCTTGATAGTTTCACCGATGATGAGTTGAAACGCGAGGTTAAACCCGAGGGCCGCAATGACTATATAAATGGCATTGTGAAGTCGGCGCGTTCCCTGGCCAGCCGTTTAACCGGTCAGGAGGAAATGATACGCGATCTAGAGATGTTTCGCCTTAAAATGATATTGCGCCTGCTGCAGGTCTCCAGTTTCAATGGCAAGATGAATGCCCTAAACGAGATCAACAAGGTGCTTTCCTCGGTGGCATACTACTCGCATCGCTCTCAGCCCCTGCCTCATTGCTTACCCGAGGATGAAATGGACTGGCTGACTGCAGAGCGCATGGCCCAATGGATTAAGTCATCCGATGTGCTTGGCATTGTGCTCAAGGACTCATTGCATCAGCCACAGTATGTGGAAAAGCTGGAGAAGATCATACGCTTCCTTATAAAAGAGCAGGCACTAACGCTTGACGATCTCGACGCAGTGTGGCGAGCTCAAGCGGGCAAGCACGAAGCGATTGTTAAAAACATGCATGATCTGTTGGCCAAGCTGGCTTGGGACTTTACGCCCGAGCAGCTGGATCATCTATTTGAGGCGTTTCAGGTGAGTTACGTGATGTATAAGACAAGACTAAATCTTAATTTTTCTATTAATTACTTGCAGGCCAGCATGACGACCGCCAACAAGCGGCAGCGAGAACGCTTGCTAGAGCTAATACGTCGTCTGGCCGAGGACGATAAAAATGGTGTGATGGCACAGAAAGTGCTGAAGCTCTTCTGGACACTAGCGCACAGTCAAGAGGTGCCACCGGAAGTGCTCGATCAGGCGCTTGGCGCGCACGTTAAGATACTCGACTATAGCTGCTCACAGGAGCGAGATGCCCAAAAGACCATTTGGCTGGATAAGTGCGTGGGCGAGCTTAAATCTGGCGACACGTGGGTGTTGCCCGCTTTGCGCCTGATTCGGGATATATGTTGCTTATATGACACAACACCCAACCATGCGCCACGCACACAGACGGGCACCAATCGGTTGCAGGTGATTGAGCGTCTGCAGAACGATTACTCTCTTGTGATTCTGGTCACCAATAGTCTGACTGCGTACATGGATAAGGTGCGCGCTATGGTTAACGAGACGCCCAGCCTGGATGCGGCGACTATTCTGATAGACGGTCGATTTCCACATCATGCTCAGATTGCCGAGCGTTTGGAGTTTCTCAAGTTCTTGCTGAAAGATGGCCAGCTTTGGCTTTGCGCTGATCAGGTGCGTTTTCTTATTCCTTTCCATCTCGCTTGCTTATTGGCTAATGTAGAAATCGTGGTTGTTCCAATCGCAGGCGAAGCAAATCTGGCATTGTCTGGCTGTGAACGCCGTGTTTACGGCTGATCGCGAGGAATGTTTCCGCTGGTTCGGTAAACTAATGGGCGAGGAGCCGGATCTGGATCCAGGCATTAATAAGGACTTCTTTGAGAATAACATACTGCAACTGGATCCGCATCTGCTGACAGAAAGTGGCATCAAATGCTTTGAGCGCTTCTTTAAAGCCGTCAATTCCAAGGAGGACAAACTGAAGGCCATTCACCGAGGCTACATACTTGACAATGAGGATCTCATCGGCAAGGATTATTTGTGGCGCGTGATAACCACCGGTGGCGAGGAGATTGCCAACAAGGCTATCGATCTATTGAAGGAGGTTTCAACAGCACTGGGTCCGCGACTGCAGGAGCACATAACCGAGTTCCATGAAATGTTCATCGGTGAGTGTTGTTCGCGTCTGCGAACACACTACAGCAACATTCTAATACTGGGAAAAACGATGCTGGAGGATGCCGACAATCAGGATGCGAATAATGATAATTCAAAGGATACAAAAATGCGCTTCATTGAGGCAGAGAAAATGTGTCGCATCATCAAGGTGCTTCAGGAGTACATTAAAGAGTGCGATCGCTCCTTTAGCGGCGATCGCATCCATCTGCCTCTCAGTCGCGTCACGCGCGGCAAGAATACTAGTCTCTACATACGTTTCCAAACGCCCGGACGGCCCATTGACGACATTGAGATTGTTACGCACAGTAACGAGACAATGGCAGCCTTCAAGCGCAATCTGCTGAAGCGCATCAAGGGCAACTCCACATCTAATACCAATATAAAGGTGGATCTCTTCTATACCAATGGTGAGCTAATCGAGGTCACCGACGAGATCAATCCACTATACCAATACACTATACGCGACAAAATGATATTAACGGCCAAGCTGACACCGGTGGGCATTGGCCTGGCCAGCAGTCCCGACTCCTCCAGCGACTCCAGCACTGGTTCGCCACCTAGGCCCTGTCCGGATATGCAGCGCGTCGAGTCGGAGAGCACGTTGCCCGGCGTGATTATCTCACAGCACTATCAGTACACTGAGTTCTTTTTGAAGCTCTATCAACTGGGCAGTGACTTGGAGCACGGTCGCCTACGTGATAGCGCCAAGGTTCTGCTGCATTTGTTGCCCTGTGATCGTCACACAATGCGCATGTTGCAGCTCATGTGCCGCGTCCCTAAGTCGCCCGCCGGTGATGGTCCCAAGGAGGAGGATGCTTTGACTGGCAGCGGTCAAACCGCTAGTGATGCGGTAGGTTTCAATCTAGTTAAATATAGAGAAACATAATTTTAAATTGGTTAAATATATTTTTAGCTAAATGCCGAGGACTGCACACCTGAGCAGATGTTCCTGCACCCGGCACCTGCCCAAGTTCTGTATAATCTGAGCGTTCTGCATGGATTGTTGATACCTGCGCTGGATCCGCTGGGCGAGTCAGCGCTGCAAGTGCAATCCGCCTGGATGCATTCGGGGTGTGCTCATTTCGTGCTTGAGCTGCTCACAAAAAACAACTTTTTGCCTAGTGCTGATATGCACACAAAGCGTGCCTCCTTCCAGTGTGTGCTGCGTCTGGCCAAGCTGTTTCTCTACATAGTGGGTAGCGTATTGTCCCGCGTGGGCGATGAACCAATGATCTGTGACTATGACAACGGCGCTCGCTCTCAGGTGGACATACTTAAGCAGAACTTCTCGACGATGCCCAACAATGCGCAGGGCACGCTGCGCGCCATCTCGGCCAAGCTGGCTGAGATATTGGCCACCGAGATGCTATCGGCCAGTCATGAGGGTGAACGCTGTCGTGCACTCTTTAGCTCCACGCTGCAATGGTCCTGTCCAGATATAACCACCATCAAGGCGGTGGTGCAGCTAGCGTGGGCCTCGTCGTGCGGTAATCTTCAAGCTTTGGGCAGCACCAACGATTTCGAGGATGATGCCATCATACCCGATGGCCAAGATTTCAGCATGTGCAAGGAGGCGCTAGAGGTGTTAACGATCTCTTTTATACTCAATCCCAGCGCCAATGAAGCGCTGAGCAATGATGCCAATTGGCCCAAATTTATTACCTCAATTGTGCTGAAGAATCCGTTGCGCCATGTGCGTCAAGTGGCATCTGAGCAGCTGTTCCTGGCGTCCACCTATTGCGCCGGTGATCGTCGCCCGTTTGTCTACATGGTCAATCTGCTTGTGAGCGCACTGAAAACCCTGGTGCCCCAGTACGAGGCCACTTGCGCGGAATTCTTTTCGGTTCTCTGTCGCACGCTCTCCTATGGATGCATATACAACTGGCCACTGCAGATTGGTGAGGGTCTTCTGGGCGATGAGATCAAGTGGCTGCGTAAGATACGTGAAAACGTCAAACTCACCAGTGAAACACAGGTGCACGAGGAACTGCTTGAGGGCCATCTTTGTTTGGCCAAGGAGCTAATGTTCTTCCTGATGCCTGACTCAAAGGCGCAGCTGAACGAGCTAATACACGAGCTCATCGATGACTTTTTGTTCACGGCATCGCGCGAGTATCTGCATTTACGCAAGCACGGCAGCCTGCGCCTGGACACGGTGCCACCACCAGTGTGCCGCAGTCCGCACACAATTGCTGCCGCTTGTGATCTTCTTATTGCTTTGTGCCAGCTCTGTGTTCCTAATATGAAGCTACTCACCAATACACTCATCGATTTCGTCTGTACGGGTAAGTGACCTGGCAATAATGCTGTAGCTGCTCTGTATGGTAATTATTGTCTTTACAAATAGATACCGATCCGTTGCGCGAATGGGATTATCTGCCGCCGGTGGGGGCTCGGCCAGCTAAAGGATTCTGTGGTTTGAAAAACGCTGGAGCTACCTGCTACATGAACTCGGTGCTGCAGCAACTGTACATGGTGCCAGCTGTGCGTGTGGGCATCCTCAAGGCACATGGAGCTGCTACCAATGACAACGAGGATTTCAGCGGCGACTCGGATTTAACTAGCGGCGGCGCTGGTGGCATGGGCCCCTCCTTTTTTGGCCCCTCAGCAATACCGACGCTCGCATCGTCATCAGCAGCTGCCACCATGGGAGCTGATGACGGCTCCGATGTGCGCAAGAACTATCATGTGATCATACTTAAGCATGTGCAGGCCATATTCGCTCATTTGGGCCACAGTGCGCTGCAGTTCTATGTGCCACGCGGTCTCTGGACGCATTTTAAGTGAGTTGAAATACAAAATGATGTTGAGTATATTGATAGATAAATCCGTTCTTATACAGACTGCAAGGCGAGCCGGTGAATTTGCGCGAGCAACAGGATGCAGTTGAGTTCTTTATGTCGCTGTTTGAGAGTCTCGATGAAGGACTCAAAGCACTTGGCTACACGCAGCTGATGAATGCAACGTTGGGTGGCTCGTTTAGTGATCAAAAGATTTGCCAAGAGTGCCCACATCGCTACTCCAAAGAGGAACCATTTAGCGTATTTAGTGTTGATATTAGGAATCATAGCTCATTAACTGAATCTCTGGAGCAGTATGTAAAAGGAGAGCTGCTCGAGGGAGCTGATGCATACCATTGTGATAAATGTGATAAAAAAGTAAGTCTGACGCACATAAAAACACATTTCCTGCTACCGTGTACTATATACATATATATTCTTAATTCTATCAGGTAGTTACCATTAAGCGGCTATGTGTCAAGAAGCTGCCGCCCGTGTTAGCCATACAATTGAAGCGCTTTGAATACGACTACGAGCGCGTTTGCGCGATTAAGTTTAATGATTATTTTGAATTTCCGCGTATCCTGGATATGGAGCCCTACACAGGTGAGATCATCCTTGACTGTTTATTTATTACACCAATAATTAAACTGTTCCACATTTAATTTAGTTTCTGGCCTAGCTAAGCTAGAAGGCGAAGTTGTGGAAGTAGGTGATAATTGTCAAACAAGTGTTGAAACAACAAAATACGAACTGACCGGCATTGTGGTGCATAGCGGACAGGCATCCGGTGGCCACTACTTCAGCTACATAGTATCCAAGTAAGTAGCCAGAATACTCAATAAATATAATTTGTTGAACCTGAACTCTTTCAGAAATCCTGCGAACGGCAAGTGCCAATGGTACAAGTTCGATGATGGCGAGGTAACTGAATGCAAAATGCACGAGGATGAGGAAATGAAGGTGCAATGCTTTGGCGGCGACTATTTGGGCGAAATTTATGATAACAATCTAAAGCGCATGCAATATCGACGTCAAAAGCGCTGGTGGAATGCGTATATGCTTTTCTACACGCGTTGCGATCAAAATCCCACACATTTCGAACCCAGTGTGGAGCAGTTGTCGCTAACAGAGAGCCGTAATGTGGTGCTGCCCCTACCGAAGCCAATTGAGCGAAGTGTCAGGTGAGCCTATCTGTTTATTATTAATGCAAATTTTATAATTTATCATTCCTCTTACCAATTGCAGACATCAAAATATTCGTTTTCTGCATTCGCGCAGCATTTTCTCGGTCGAGTTCTTTAATTTTATTAAAAAGCTGGTCAGTTGCAGTATTCCCTCAACGCGCAGCGATAAAATTGTGAGTGTGTGTATAAGATTAAATCTGTTAAAAAATGTTAATTAACTATTGTACTGTGCAGACACCTGCTGCTGAGGAACTTTCGCTGCTGGGCGTACAGTTGGCATCACAGTTTCTGTTCCATACTGGATTTCGTACTAAAAAATCGCTGCGTGGTCCCGTCATCGAATGGTAAGTGGAGAAATAAACAGTAGAAAAATGGTTATTTATATTATTTTTGCTTTAGGTATGACACGCTCTCACATCACATACGTTCCTCCTCGCTGGTGCGCAAGTGGTTTGCGAATCATGCCCTGCTCTCGCCACCGTCGCGCCTGGGCGAGTATATATTGATGGCGCCCTCCCCGGAGGTGCGCACCGTGTTCGTCAAGCTGGTTGTGTTCTTTTGCCATTTCGCCATCAATGATGAGCCGCTTGTTGGCTACGAGGGTAGCAATCTCTGCGAGCAGGTTCTTATTAGTGTGCTGCGTCTGCTTAAATCTGAGGCTGCTGACTATGGCAAGCATTTACCGCATTACTTCAGTCTGTTCAGCATGTACGTGGGCCTGGGTACTCGCGAGAAGCAACAGCTACTCAAGGTAATTATAAGGAGCCATTTTGTTTATATTACATTTGCTAATGTCATGCTTTGTTTCTTTTTAACAGTTAAATGTGCCCGTGCAGTTTATGCAGGTGGCCATGGACGATGGATCAGGGCCGTCGATTAAGTATCAGTATCCAGAATTTAGCAAGCTGCATCAGGTGGTGTCGCATTTGGTGCGCTGCAGCGATGTCAGCGACAAGTGCCAGAGCTCCAATCAAAATGCGCGACCTCTGCCCAATCCGTACAAGGACGCAAGTATTTCCCAAGAGGAGCTGACGCCGCTGTCCAGTGAATGCATGGATATTCTCTTCAATCGCACCGGGTAAGTCATTTGTCTTACATGATTGTATTAGTTTTATAACGGCTCGATTTTCACAGCTATATCAAAAAGGTTATCGAGGACACGAATGTGGGCGATGAGGGTTTGAAGCTGCTACAGTATTGCAGCTGGGAAAATCCACATTTCTCGCGTGCGGTGCTCACAGAGCTGCTGTGGCAATGTGGCTTCGCCTATTGCCATGATATGCGCCACCACACAGATCTATTGCTGAACATATTGCTGATTGAGGATTCTTGGCAGCATCATCGCATACACAATGCGCTCAACGGCGTGGCGGAGGAGCGTGAGGGCCTGTTAGAGACGATACAGCGCGCCAAGACGCACTATCAGAAGCGCGCCTATCAGATAATCAAATGTCTAACACAGCTGTTCCACAAGTCACCCATTGCGCTTCAAATGCTGAACACTAATCCTAGTATAAGTCGTCATTGGAGCATTGCCGTTGAGTGGCTGCAGGATGAGCTGGAACGCCAGCGTGGCATAGGCTGTCAGTATAACTCGTACTCATGGTCGCCGCCGGCACAGAGCAATGACAACACCAATGGCTACATGCTCGAGCGCTCACAATCGGCAAAGAACACCTGGTCCATGGCATACGAGCTGTGCCCGGAGGAGGTGAGCGAGAAAGCTACGACGGTGCCTATAATACAAATTTATCTTTAAAATAAACTGCATACTAACGCATTCCTTTTTGGCTAGCAGGATCAGGAAGAGAACAACGAATCTGACTTGGAATCAAACGATGACAACAAGCAGGAGCTACAACAGCCGGCGCAGACGCAGCAGCCACAAGTCGCAGATACGAATGCTGGCAAAGAGCAACAGCAGCCAGATAACAAATCGGCCAACTATCCACAGCTAGCAACAATCCCAACAATTGGCGGATGGCCCGGCCCTGCCCCAAACTCAACACCGACTTCTACACCAGCACCAAACTCGGGTTCCATAGATGGCAATGGCATACCGAATTTGTCACGTCAATTGTTTAGCGCCTACACATCTATGGGCGTCGTCTCCTCCAGTGACAATGCTGCGCCGACTGTCGGTGGCGGTGGGGGCAGCGGAAGCGGTGCCAACAGCGAAACCGAGAGCAGCGCTCAGGATACGGGCAACACCGACTCCAACATAAATGGCCTTACCAACAGTTTGGATTATTTTTTAAAATTTAATATTTCATCAAAACAGGTAAGAAGCATGACAATGAAGCTCGATGGGTATCTCCTAGAGCTGTAGTTAGTATTGTTCAAGTCCACCTGGTTCAAGTCCTGCCTTGCCATACAAAAAAATATACCTATAGAAATATAAATATATATAAATATATAAATATATACAGATATATATATATATATAGATATATATGTATATATAGATATGTATATGTATATATAGCATACCAAAGTACACTACACTCCACAACATGGTAACTTTGTTCTAATTCTTTCTCTGTTTCAAATTATCCAATGTGCCTTCTTTCGATGTTTCGCTGTTTTCCTTTGTTGTCCTCTTCCCTTCTGCCTTTCTGTTAAACTGTGCGCAGGGCAGCCGAAATCGTGTTAACCGAGGAGGTAAATTGCCGCCGGCAGCGGAGCTGCTAATGCCGCCACTGCAACAACTACAGTCACAACAACAACAACAACAACAGAAACCGCAACAGCTACAACAACAGTCACATCAACAAAAACATCAACTACAGCTGCAACTACAACCAAAACAGCAACAACAACTGCAACAGCAGCAGCAGCAGCAACAACAACAACAGCAGCAACAACAACAGCAACAACAACAACAACAACAACGTGGTGATATTAGCAACAGTTCCACAAGCCGCTTAATTTGATTTGCTGCCAAGTTAGTTAGAGTTGTTCATCTAATTCTGTGATCCGACCACATTTGTTATTGTTTTTGTTTAAACGTTTCGTTGTTCACTGAAAAAGCCAAAAGTTCTTTATATCGAGCTATAGACACGATTGTCATTCGCATTGTTGTGTCTACCAAACGGGGACACGAAACTCCTGGCTTTTGTTTTATTTATTATTTATTTTTTAGCTAAATGCTTATTGACTCAGGCACACACACACACACACACACACACACACCCAACGACACTCCTTGTACATACATACTTTGCACACTTAGTTGTTTTCTGCTTTATTGATACGCTGACGCTCAAAGCACCCACAAAGTGTTGCAAGCGCCAAGCTTACATATTTGAAAACCCACATATTGTTTTGGATCTATATTTAATTAATAATTGTTATTTGTTTTTATTCTTATGCATTCACAGCAGTGTACGCCAAACAGGAAAGATCGAAGAAGGACAAGGGAAAAGAAGAATGTATTTAGAAGTTCGGAGGAGTACGAGGAAGTAGCAGCAACAGAGGCAACAACAACACCAATGCCTGCAACAGATACAACAGCGCCTAGCGCAATAAAAACACAAGCAGCAGTTGCAGATAGCTCAGCAGCAACAACAACAACAGTTGCAGCAACAACAAACGAGACAACATCATCAACAGACACAACAGCAACATTGTTAACGCCGGCGAACACTACAACTACAACAACAGCAACAACACCAGCAACAACAACAACAACAACGGGAGCGGCTGAACTCAATTCAATAATGGAGAAGAACTTAATTTAAAATCTATAGAAACAAAACGAAAAGTTTTTTTTCAATAAAATTACTAATCGCAACAATAATAAAAATAATATTAATAATAATAACAACAAACAAAACACTAAGCAATTTGTGAGCATCCATCAATTGATAATGTAAATTGTTTGGGTGGTTAAAGTGGGGGCAGATCGTTGTAAAAACAAAAAAAAATTGAAAACAAAATGAATAACAAAAAGATACACTAAAACGAGACTTAAACGCTAGTAGTTATTAACAAACGAATTAACAAATGAAACCTAGGCAAAAACAAGAACAAGAATACGAAAAACGATACTTAGTCGAAGTCGGATGCGAGAGGAGAGCAAGAGAAAGTAAACATTAAGAATGGGTATGTACCAACAAATGGTGTTTAAAGAGTTATTGTACTTTATATTTACCTAAACAAATTACATACATGCGTATACACACTCACACACCCACACACACACGCATATACACTATGATGGTTTTAAGTTGCACGTTAATAATACGATATAATTGTATTTATATAGTATATATAAATGATGTATTACGCATGGAAAGCGAGCAATCTAAACATTAACTGAATCAAATAAAACCAACTAACAAAAACTACATACATACATACATACATGCATACATACTTAGGAAACAAAATTAATTAATTCGGCTGAATGTCGTGAAGACAGCTGCGTAAATATTTCGATTAAGGCAAGCAAAACCAAATTGCATCTTCAGTACTCATCATGCCACAAGTGTCGCTTCTGAAAGGCGTTTCAAAAATAATATTCAATTTTTAACTGGAATTGGATGCGAAATCAAAAACGAAAACAAAACAGTATAAAACGCCAGAGTTGATAGATAAATGTGGACTAAGAAAAAAAAAAAGAGATCGTAAAATAAACTTGATTATGTTTATACTAAGTATATATATATATATTTTTAATTATTTAGTGTTTTTTGTATTAAGTGAAATTTGTTAAACATTTATTAAATTATTATGTTTTAAGTTGCAAAATAAACGCGAAAAGTAAGCAAATAATGCTTTAATCACTTTTTCTCATAATTTGTTTTATAAACCACAACAACGAACAAAACAAGCAATAGATCAATTCGATAAACAAACTGAAATATACAAATTGTTAATCTATTTTAATTTACATATTTTACATATGTAATCTGTGAACTGTATGCAATAAGAGACACGCATATGGCATAAATTAAACAAACAAATAGGAAAAAAAAAACGCAATAAATGAAAACTAAATTTTTTCTAACTAATAATGTTTTGTATATGGCAATATTTATTAGCTGAGCGATTGATTCGCTATGGCAAATGCAATAGAAAGTTTATACTTTATAAAAGAAACACCCATTATTTTTACTGTCACGGGATTAGTTACAACAATGATCCATTAGATGGAAATATTTACGCTTAAATCTAATAAATGCACGTGGGTAAAGCTAAAAACTGCTTAAGAATCGATTCAAAAGCACAGAAATAAATGCAACAAGTCAAATTCTACGCATAAATGCAACAATTTCCTGGTATGCCCAGGCAAACCAAATCAATTTTCTTCATCAGTTGGCGTCCTCATCAACGAATGTTATGACTGCAGCACCCTTGGCCATGTTGTCGCCTACGGCGCCGCCAATTAATTTAATAGTGGCATCCTTTGGTGCTTTCAGAATGTGCTCCATTTTCATAGCTAGCGTTGTAAATGCAGATTAGAGAGTAAATTTAAAGCAAATATCACTCTCAACATACCTATAAGCACAGCTAGACTGTCGCCCTTTTTGACTATGTCGCCAGGTTTGACCAGTATCTTCTCTAAAACGCCAGGCATGGGTGCCACTACTCGGGAACCGCTGCTACCAAGCTGATCAGCCTGAGCGCTTAGGAATTTTGGCTGCACTAGCTCGAAGTCCAATTTGCCGCTCTATAATTAGTAGGATTAAGTTCGCAAGATCAACTTGTTGCTTACGCAGTCTCTTACCTCTAGGAACAGCGTTACATTTGCTCCATCAATGTTAGCATTGTAGGTGGATATATTGTTATCAATATTGGCACGTATTTTCAAGCGTCCGTCATCCTGCACACGTTCGGCCTTAACCACTTGCCAAACACCGCCATCGACGCGAATTTCAATATTCCCATTATCATACTTAACGTCCACAGCATAAACTAAATTTAGAATTAGAGGTAGCAGCTGAGCAGCAGGTTTTGGTGTCTATGAAACCATTTGCATACCTTTGTCATGTGCCTTCAAATTGTAGCTGCGAATTAGCGCGTAATTGAGACGTACATTTGCGGCTGCAGCAAAGGGATCCTGATTGCTGCTGGCATTGCTGCCGGCAGCCTGTAGCTCATTGAAGATCAGCGAAAGAGCGGCTTGGCTCAGTTGCTGCTCCTTGACTACAATTGGCGGAAAGAGTGTATCAAAGTGTTGATCGATGAAGCCGGTGTGTACATTGGCTAGCTGGAACTCCGGGTGCGAGGCCAGGTCAATGAGAAAGTTAATGTTTGTCTCTAGCCCAGAAATCTAAGGTAATATAAGAGTTAGGCAAGAAAACCAATCCAAAATCGTATAAACTACTCACATGATATTCACCCAAACGCGCAATCAGCGAGTTTAGCGCCTGCGTGCGATTCTCGCCCCACACAACCAATTTGGCAATCATGGGATCGTAGTGTACAGATACCTCATCACCCTCTCGCACTCCCGTCTCTACACGCACGTCGGCATTGGGCTTTGGCGTACTCAAGTATCGCAGCGGTCCGGCGCCTGGCAAAAAGCCGCCGCGAGGATTCTCTGCATAGATGCGTGCCTCGAAGGCGTGACCACGGCGCGTGATCTGCTCCTGGGTCAGTGGTAGTGGCTCGCCAGCGGCAATGCGAATTTGCCACTCGACGAGATCGGTGCCGGTTATCATCTCCGATATGGGATGCTCAACCTGCAGACGTGTGTTCATCTCCATAAAGTGAAACGATAGATCCTCTTTGTCTAGTATAAATTCGACAGTGCCGGCGCCAACATAGCCCACAGCCTTGGCGGCGCGTACGGCAGCTTCGCCCAATTCACGACGCAGTTCCTCTGATAAACCTGGCTAAAAATAGGAAAACAATTCATACATGCTGGAATTACTTTTATTGCAAGATTTCCACTCACCGCTGGTGCCTCTTCGATGATTTTCTGATGACGCCGCTGGACGGAACAATCGCGCTCCCACAGATAGACAGCATCACCGTACTGATCGGCAAATACCTGCACCTCTACGTGACGGGGTGAGCGCACGTAGCGCTCGAGCAGCACAGAACTATCTCCAAAGGCTTTCAGGGACTCGGTGCGTGCCGAGTTCAATGCTGTGAGAAAATCTTCGGGTTTCTCAGCAATTCTCATGCCTTTACCGCCACCACCTCGCACTGCCTTGATCATAAGGGGAAACCCAATAACGGCAGCCTCTGCCTGCAGGCAGGCATCCGACTGATCGTCGCCATGATAGCCATTGATGATGGGCACTCCGGCAGCTGCCATGATGGCCTTGCTGGTGCTCTTGATGCCCATGTCGCGTATGGCGGAGCTGGGTGGCCCCATGAATATGACACCTTCTTTCTGGCATAGCTCAGCAAACTCTACCGACTCGGAAAGAAAGCCGTAACCAGGATGAATCGCTTGGGCACCCGACTTTTTGGCAATCTCCAGGATGCGCTCGCCGCGCAAATACGACGCCGCCTCGCCAACGCGATACGCTTCGTCGGCCAACTCGGTGTGCAGGCTGTGCTCATCGGGATCCGAATAGACAGCCACAGTACGAACGCCAAGTTTGCGGGCTGTTCTGATAACGCGACACGCTATTTCGCCGCGATTGGATATTAGAATTTTGTTGATCGGTTGGACCTTTGGTGTGGCTTTTGTGGCCATGCACCTGGCGAAGATAAAAACGTTTATGTAACAGTTGACTACAGTTGAAATAGCGCACAATAATTTAAAATATTCCTGCCATTATTACCTTACACTGTGACCAAAATGCTGCAATAGTCTTGTATACATTTTTGTGTTGTTTAATGTAAATAATGAATAAAAACAATTATTTATTGCGAGCAGTCTTATCACAAGTCCACCGCACACAATCAATGTGAACGACACCTGTTTTAAGAGACGGCAACTTGCACGACGATCATTTGTGGAGGCTGTCGATAGTCAATACAATAATCGATAGCATAAACAGCTGTTCATGGTATGGTTGGCTCTTCTTCTTGTTGATAGTTTGAAAGCAGTTGGCAGTTCAACAATTTAAATTAGCACGCACTTGTTTTTTTTTCCCTATAAAGAAGCAATTAACACAATTTTAAAAAACATATATGTATAATTATTCAAATCAGCAAGTAAAACTAATTAAGTTGGCAGGTAAATATTGGCAAGTAACTGGTTTATGTAACGAACTAGATGAACTGAATCTGGTTCGCTTATTTAGTTGGGCTATCGAACCTATTGGCAACAATTCGATACAAATCCAATGGTGACCGGCAAAATTTAGCCAACAATACACAATTAATAAGATTTTATAATTCAAGCTTTGTATAGCGTCGCCTGCAAGTGTAAAGTTTTAAGGTGAATTTGTAGCTTAACTGAAGCGGCTGTGGGTATTTGGTTACTTTGAAATTTTCATATATGTACAATTGTTGCTCATAATAGGGCTTCATTGAAAGCGTCTCCACTGGGATTAAGTCATGGATAAGCGCGTCACTGTCCTGTTGCCCAATGGTCGTCGACAAAATGTCAACGTAAGGCCAGACATGACCTTGCTGGAGGTACTGGAGACGGCGAGCGCAAAGCATGGCTATGACAGCGAGGAACATTGCCTCAAATTCCACAACAAGGATGTCAGTCTGGCGCAGCAGTTTCGCTTTAGCGGCCTGCCCAACAACTGTGTGCTGGAAATGGAGCCTACGGAAAAGCGGCGGCCGTTGAGCAACGTTGTCGTATGCATTCAACTAATTGACGGATCCCGTGAGCAAGGCGAGTTTCCGCCAAGCAGCACCGTCTGGCAAATAGTGCAAGAGCTATTTAGTATCCAAGTGGAAGCCTACGAAAGTCCGGTTATCATTTACATGCGTAGCGAGGTGATTGGTGAGGAGCAAATGCGTCAAACGACATTAAAATCGCTGGGCATACTAGAGGGACGCGCCATGATGCGGTTGATCGACAAGAAGCCGGAGGAGCTTAAAAGGCAGGCCAATGTCTACAAGCCGGCAGAGACGAAAGCCAAATTAGCGGACGAGTACGACGAACAGCCCAGCACCTCGCGCTCGGCCATGGGTGGTTCCGGCAGCGGTGGAGGTGGCTTTGCGCTTACCAACGATATGTTGAAATCGCTCAAGCGCTCAGCCTCTGATGAAAACAGCCCTACGGCCGCAGCAGCAGGAGTTCCTTCCGGCACAAATGTGCAAAAGAGCGAGCCTGAGCAGGCCAAATATGACTGGGGCAGTGGCTCGGGCTACTTACTTCATCACCGCAACGACGAGGAGCAATACGATGAGGATGCCGATGAAAATACCGGTAAAGCACCGCCAGTGGTAAACGTTATTGGGCCACGTAACGCTGTACTGTTCTCACTGGATGCGGCCAACAGGCATAACGACGATCTGCCCGATTCGTTTTTCGACTTGACAGTCAACGACTTGAAAATGGTGCTACGGGATCTGAAGCGCACTGCGGCGGGCAACGAGGATGCGCCGCTGCTCACTTCCAATCTGCGTGAATTAGAACGTCAAAAGGCCATGCTTGCGAAGCTGAATCAATACAAGGATTGCGTGCTACGCATACAGTTTCCCGATCGCCATGTGCTACAGGGAATTTTTAAGCCACACGAACCGCTTGGCAGGGTGGAAGAGTTTGTACGTGGATTTCTTGCCAATCCCAGCGAAAAATTTCACCTGTTCACCATACCGCCAAAGAAGATTTTGCCAGCGGACGAAACGCTTCTGGAGCTCAATTGTGTGCCCAATGCCGTATTGCATTTTACATTCGTTCAGGACAACCTAAACGCGGTGACAAATAGTTTCCTGCAGGAAAAATTTATCGCGCAGCTAACCTCGGAGGAGGGGGCTCTTTATGCCGTGCAAAAGTATCGCCTCACCAGGGCCACCGTTAGTTCCAGTTAGTTGTGGAATCTATAGATTTTAGCGAACACTTTGCGTGATAATAAATAACTTTCGCTTTTTTTATTCTATACGCGAACCAATGCAATTGCATCCCTTTAACTGTTCAAAGAATTCGCCTGGCAAGGTCTTCTAAATATCTGATCCATGTTATAAATCCATTTAGTCATCACTAAAAGATGGTAATTTTCAATTGGGGAAACTAATCAAATTTCAGAGCACTCACCATACTTAGAGCCAACAATGACAGGACATGCGGCGTGAACCGTTTTTGGATGGGGCGTGCCGGAATCTTTCAAATTGTGCCACAGAACAGCAGTTCCTTTCTCGGGCGAGATTGTCAGATTCAGTAAGGGAAATGTTGTGGCACCTCCCAGTTCAACGTCACTCAACTATAATATTGAAAAACCTCCAGACTTTTTGTTCAGTTTTAATGAAAATCAAACGGACTTACGTAAAACAATGCTGTAGCTATGCGATCTTCCGTTTTATTTTCCTGCAAAAAAAATCGGTGAAATTAACTGCTTGGAAATCATATGTAAATACCTCTTCTGAAAATGAGTCGTGGTGGGGAATATAGTGACCACCGATGCCGTAGTTGATCAAAGATAGATCGTCGGATCCTTCCATGCTCAAGCCAGACATGTCTGTCACTCGCATTTCGATAGTCTTAACTAGCTCGCCCTTTTCCAATTCAATGAAAACGTTCTTGCCGCTGCGATGCGCTGAAAATCCTCCATAATCCAACAAAGCGGGCGTATAATCAAAGCTTTGGGTTAGGAACCACTCAATTTCGCTATCGTAAATGACATTGTGATAGAGCACCACGAAAGGATCGATGCTGAGCTCCTCCATTTTGAGTGGTGCAATGCGAAGAAACGGCGTTGTCCAATTGTTATAGCGACAATGCAGATGGCTGGGTCGTTGCAAACTGGCGGCACAGTGTTCCTTTAGGGTCGCCATTGTAATGTGCTCTTCCAAAATTCCGTCGTAGTGTTCAGTTTTTGCTTGGTTTATATGCCACATTCCTAAAGAGTTCTCCCTGCGTTTAATCGAAAGGATACCCAACCACTTATGGATGCTTTTTTCATTAATGAAGATACTGTACTTGGCCTCTTGACTTGAGTCGTATTTCAAAAGCGAGGCATTTAACCAAATTTCAGCTTTCGTATATTCCTTCTGGAAATAGTTGAACATTCCCAAGGCGTAACAATCCATTGCCGATAAAGCAGCTCTGAAAGTAGATAAACTTTGACAGGTGTTCCACTAAGAGCATAAAGACACAAACCCTGGCTGGGAATATCCTAATAGCTTGCCGCTTGCCAATTCGTTGGGATTCAGTTCATAATACGTAATTAGGAGCTCGATACTGCGACTGGCCTCCTGAAGATCGAAAGCTGTGGGTAGTTCTGAGCGCATTTCATGCGCATATGCCAAATGTTCTGAATGAATAAGTAAATATTTAGCAGAGCTATGACAATTAATCATTTACTACCTTTTCCAATTGTTTCACTCATGAATAGCGCCCATTTCTGCCAATCCTGTTGCTGATGGCGTATGAGCGCAAAACTCTTTAGAGGATTGCTCAAATAAGTTTTAAAATATAAATTCATTCTGATCGCCTCGGCACGAAATTTTCTGAGTGCTCTGAAAAGGTGCATATACAGAAAATACAACAAAATAGTTAAGACAGTGCATTATTTACTGTTGAATTAGGTCGAGTTTCCATTTAAGCTCTTCCACGTAGCTAGCCAAGTTCTTTTCTAGCATTTCCTCAACGTCCAAAAGTCTTTTTAAGACTTCTGTCGATGCTGCATATGATTTTTGTCTTATAAGATTCTCAATGGCATTTGCTTTGAACAAATTCAAGCTTATTGAGGCTAGAAATATGATTATTCTTATTAAATTCATTTGATATTCCCGAAGAGCTTAGATCTGTGTTGTATAGTCGTAGAATATCTCTGTAGAACGAGGAATAACAAATAGTTTTAAGTTAAAAACATCGTTTTAGGAAATCGCAATGAAATTGCAATCGGTCATGGTAATAAGCTGTGACAAATCAAAAGGGATAGAGTACATTTAGGTTGACTCGAGGGAAATACCTTGTTAAATATGATAAGCTCTGATTGCAATATAATCTAATGAAAGACAAAATACATTTAATTTAATAAAGAAACTAAGAATTTTAACTAAGCTAATCAAGATAAATAACAAAAACTTAATCACTTATCAACCAAGTTTTTCCTTTTGAAAATGGCAGCTTGTGCCAGTGTTGCAAAGTGTCGGATGCCACATGCCCATATGAGAGAGACAGACACTCGCAACACTCACGCATGCGCGAAGTCGTCGCTTTCGAAACCGAGCCAGAAGACCAAAGAGGCCAGCCAACTCGGGGCTGGGTGGATTGGTTAGCCACAATTTCTGAATCATATTCAGTTTTCAGTCGTTGGCCGCTTGTCGAAGTAACAAGTTTTGTAAATCGCGCATTCAGACACCATTCGAGTCGCAATCGCATATGTTAATCGGTAAAGGAGCCACGCTCTAGACAACAATTGCAAGCACGAATACAAGCTTAATATATTTATGTATATGTTTGATTTAAGAAACAACAACAAACAATCAGAATGCGTGCCAATGTGAAAAAGTGAAATACATATTCGTTTATATTGGCCGAGTCGAGGCCAATGCATTTTTTGTGAATAGATTAATAATTGTTTATGCTTCCAAAAACAAAATGTGTAAATTTGCTAACCTATTGGAGCAATAATAGCAATAATTGTGCTAATTTAAATGAAACCGAACAAAATTGAAACACAAATAACAGACAAAGGAATTAAATAAAAACGTATCGCAAACAACTTTTACCTATGATTTTTATCTTTACAAGTTTTAAACGCAGAACCGCCGCCAGTTGCCTGTTTTGTGTTGTTGTTTCTGTTTTCTTGTGACAGTAGGCGTCTAAACGTGCCGACATTTTTTGGGGGGGCGTGGCCGCAATAGCAACGAAAACAACCTGCGACAGCCACGAAAATTATGGCGCGAGAGCCAAGAAATCAACCAGGCGGCCGAGCAAACTGTTTGGAAAGTGTTTGGCCCGTTACGCTGAAAATATGAAACAAGACGCTTCAATGATTTGTTTTAAACAAACTGGCATTTAGCTTAAACATGATTATGATTAAAAATATCTATGGATATAGTCATCATTTTATTGTTATTGTAAATGCCTATGTTGTTGGAAATGCCCACGCGACGTTTTTTGTTTTTTGTTTTTTTTTTTTTTTATTTGGCTTTAATCGACATTGGCATCTGAGTCTGAGTCTCTTCACTTTTACTTTAAACGGAAAGAGAGAGTGTTTGCCCAGCTCATTTGCGTTTCTGTTTACCGGTTTTTCAATTTACGCGCATTTTTTTTTTATTTTGTATTTGGCCACAACAATTGTTAATCTGATATCTATTTGGTTTTCTTAGCAGGCAGCTGGAAAAAAGATATAATATATAGATGTAATAGCTTCATTAAATTTAATTAAAGCAACAACTTCCGAGTCGGGCCGCATCTCCGGCAGCACGAGTCGTGCATTTAGCCATTTTATACTGCGCGTGCCTACATCAAAATAAACGTTTATTTTCCATTTTCATGGCAAGCAACAAAATATAAAAAACATTGTTTATGCTTAAAGTTTTTCAGTGTGTGAGTGCGTGAGTGTTTTTGTTCAACTGGGAAATTGGCAGCTAAACTAAAACGAAGCTAACATATAAACGACGTTTCCCCCCAACGAATTACACACAATCAAAATAAAGCGCTGGAAATAGTTGAGAAAATGAATTTTTTCGTTATTGGATTTCTGATCATGCAGGCGGCAAGTGAGTAAAATATGTAGCATATTGATATATTGATACAGATATAGACTTATCACGTTTGCCAAAAGTATTTCTACTCGGTGTTGGTTCAGCTAACATACATACATATATTAACATGTGTGGGCAATGTAATAATAATAATAATAATAAATAATTCATAATAATAAAACATAATCGCATTAAACATAACATCAGTTTGCATTACATATTTTTAGCTAATTATGCTATTCAAATTGTTTTGCTTACAACAAATCAAGTTTGTGCCCTAAGTCTTTCGTTTCCGCTGCCTTGTCACGCATGACAAAAAAAAAGTTATTAAATTGCTTACAACAGAGACTACCGCACATTTCGGTTGTTAACCCAAAAAAAATAATAAAAATTCTTTTGCATCACAGTTAAGTGATGTGTGCACCGCACAGAAGACCGGCTGATGGCATAAAAAGCGGCTCTCTGATTTGATATGTGCCCAACGTAATAGAACAGGTTATGCATGGACTTAATTTAAGTGGCTTGCATTCATTTGCAATTGAGATGAGCAGCAAATTCAATTCAAGTCACCTGCCTTGTGCAGCTGGGCAGTGCTTAGAAAAGCGCGCCAAAAGCGCGATTCATAACAACAGAAATAAGTGAAACGCAAGCAAAACAACAATTGACTTCTTCTACGAGCATATTCAACCATTTACTTTAAGACTGTTGCTGCAGTTTTTCGATAGTTTCTTGTTATACCCTGCAGCTATCTAGAAGGGTAGCTTAGCATTCTGGGATTTTAATAAGTAGACAGTAGAGCTGGGCTCAACTGACTAAAGACTTTTTCCTGCAGTTCTCGAACTTTACAAAATAGAAGCAGCAAAGTTGATATATGTATTCATGAATATCTCTAAGAACTCAGAATAGTTTTAGATTTTGGCTAATTTTAATCTGCTTACATTAGTGACCAACTTAGATATAAAGATCTTGAGTCATGAATGTCAGCTTGCATCATAAGTATAAAAGCGTCATTTAGTACAGGGTATTGCATATTCGCGCATCCTTGACACTGTGTTTTTCAGTTTGCAATTTTCGTGTGCCGCTCGCGTTTAGCCCGATTATTTGGCTAGCTTCTGTGTGTTTTGGGTATGGTTAATATTTCAGCTTTGTGGTTTCTCAATGCAAACGAGCTTGAGCATTTAAAGCCTTGCTAATGCAACTCACAAGAAAACACAACTTGATATTTTGTTTTTGCTTGTGTTAATGCTGTGACTTGCAAGAATATAGATAATATATGCTAAAGGCTTTTCGTTCTTTGTGTCGACTAACGAGCCTGAAACTGATAGATTTGGCTAGTATCTCATTTAAATCGCACACATGTAATTCTGGAGAATAACTTCGGAGGCAACTTGAAGCTGAACTTGGATGAAGAGTGCTTGTTGTGGTAGAAGAGTGTTTAGTCATTAGTTTTCATCCATGGCCGCAATTTAGCAGGTGTTATCGTTTCGCTTGGCCATATAAATCAATTCGCATGCAAATTGAAACACAAATTAATTTTGTTTAACCTTCGCACTGCAATTTGGCCCGAACAGCTTTTGCCTGAAGTGTAACATATCAACACACATAATTTGATTTTAGTCAAGTGCCAAATCGCTAGGCACTGCCTCGAAATTGACGGCCAGACAAGTGTTATGGGCATTCTGTCTAGCATACGCCCAGCCAACAGAAAATCGGTCAAGTTCAGCTTCAAGATGAGCATGTAGAGCGCATCAGTCATAGACCAAAAGCCATTCGGTGTTAATGGCCAGTTAACGTGGCTCTGCGGTTCTCTTTGATACGGAAAGAGAAGCGTAAATAAATCTGCATAAACCGCGCGCTTCATTTGCATTTCCATTTTTGTTTCGGGGCATGGACTATTTGGCTTGGAATGCGAAGACTGCAGCTTGACTCAGTTGCGCGTCTGCTGAATCATTTGGCCGAACTACGCCCAGGTTGCACAATGATCGCTGCCGTGTAGCGGTTACATGTGTGTGGCCTAATGCTCAGCTCAAAGGGCATGTTGATGGCTTCATAAAGCTCCGGTAGGCAATCGAGCATAGTGATTCATCAATTTGAAGCCAATCAGTTTTTTGAGATGCGTCTCAAGCCGACTTTAAGTTTGTTTCCCTTTTTTTTATGTGTTTGGCTGACCAGTCTCAGTCTTTTGTCTTGTGATCAATGACGCAGCGCTTTGGCATCGCTGCTCTCTCTCTCTCTCTCTCTCTATTTCTCTCCCCCTCTCTTAGCTTCTCGCTTAGTTTTTATATAACCCACATTTTGGCAGACCGCTTTATGCAACTTCTTAGCTAAGATAACACAACAAAAACCTGACACAGCCGGCTAAAGGGCTGACAGCATTCGATATTATTGCAAATGAAGTGGTTTTTTGTTGCCTGAGGAGACACTTGAGCCAAACCCAAATGAGTCTAAGTAACCAATAATGCGCATACGCCCAGTGTGACAGACATATTTCAAATAACTTTCAAATAGCAATTAGCATTTAGGTTTTTATACTCATACAGAGGGTATTATTATTTTGTCATGTAAAGTGTAACGCTTGGTGGGAGTAGCCGCTGATCCCATGAAATCTATATATATTCTTGATTAGCATGGCAATCTTCAGTAGCCCTGCTTATTCGCCCGGCATGATAAACATCATGGTACTTTGTAGAAGTTCGAAGCTTACACTTTTCGCAAAATCCACTTCTCTTGGATGGAAAGTGCGAGTCAAATTTTGTGTTATCAAAAGTTTGTTTGTCGACCTTAAGATGCTCATTACTAATCAAATTTGAGTTCTTTATGGCCTTTGGAGCTGCTTTTTAATATTGAATGAATATATTTAGGTTTTGGTTAAATATCTTGTGCAAAAGAGGCATTTAAGAGCCTTAATAGATTTTTGATATATTTGCAAAGCTGTATCAAGGCTTATATTTGGCTCATGTGGCACCAATTGAAACGTTTAATCAAAAAAGCGCCTTTAAGTCAGGTGACTAGAAGGGCATTGAATCTCCGACGTGTTCGTTTTGTCTCGTTTCCTAATTACTTTGCCGGGCTCCCAAGTCCAAACGGCAGTCAAGAGAGCTGCACAGCCCTTGCAAGCCCGAGTCAAACAGGAAAAAAGAAACTTGAAAATTGCATTGTCATATTGATGGATCTCAGCATTACAAGAAAAAGATGAAAAAAAGAAAGAAGCAAAAAAAAAATATGCTGTCCTAAGTGACTAAGTGAGCAATTTGCAAAGTGAAAGGCGCGGCTGTGCCCACTGCACAGACACATGGAGAACCGTCCTTCAGTGCATTTGGTATACGAGTATGTACTTGTACTTGATTTCTTGATTGCTTCATTATTTGATTTCACTTGCAAATTTGTGGCATATTTTCACTGTTTGCCTCGTTTTAGGCATGTGAGCTAATCAACATGCCCGCAATTCCCTTCCGCTCGTCGCACTTTGTTCACAATTAACAATAAATTATAGCATAATTATCGCATCTTCACAGCGCTTCGCTGGCAGCATCATGCAAGAGTCAACCGAAGCACATCCACATCCACACAGCCACAGCCAACAATACAAATAGTCCACATACATAAACAGCATGCGGTGACTATTGTCTGGCTCTGCCATAGTTTACTATGTTAGTGTGTCTCTTGTGGAGTTGCGGCTACTTTGGCCCGCTCACGCAACCCGCGCGCTCACGTAAGACCTTCAAAGGTCACGCACGCCGACTCCAACTCCAGCTCCGGCGAATCCGAATGTGTCTCCGTCTCCGTCTCTGGCTGTGTCTCTGATTCCATCAGCGAGTCGTCGTCTCGTTGCAGACTCATTTTGTTCACCCCGGGCTGCATCGCTTCTGGGCGTCTTTGTTACCTTTTGTTATTGTCGCTTGACATTTTTATTACCCTAACACAAGAGTTACGCACTTTTCCCATCAAGCTTGGAACAGTTTTTAATAGTTAGTTCAGATTGTTGCCAAAACTTAGTCTGGAGACTATCATAACCAAAATATATAGATTATATTTGGCATTATAATTTTCTTACTTAAGAACTGTAATAAAAAAGTATAAAAATAAAAAATAATAATTGCTTAACTAATATATGATTAATTATATTTTTAATTTTTGTTTAATTTAATGTTGATAAATTATTTTGTTTAGAATAAATTATTTTATTGTTTTTATGTTATTTGAAAAATAAGTTAATTTTATTTACAAATTCCTTCTTTCTTCGTAATTAGAGAAAGTGCATTGAAAGTTCGGCATGCCAAAATAAATATTTACTTTGGTTTTTTTTATTGTTTCTTGCCTATCGGCCACACACACACACACACACTCACACACACGCACACACAAGACATGCAACAAGCGGCGCTCAAATTGCAATTTAATTCGACATTTTTGAAAGATCTTGAAGTGGCCAAACATTTTGTTGGGTGTTTTTGTTTTTGGGGCCCTATCACTCACTGTCAAGTCCATCGTTCAATTAACATAATTAACTGACAAAACGAATTAGCATGCAGATTGGCAGCCAGCACTTTACACAGATACGTTGTCACGACGTTGTTGCTGCTGTTGTATGTTTGTTTGAGTATTGTTTGGGCTGGTTTCTAATTTGACACTTGTCTGTCTGAGATACTTGGCCCAATTCACGCACTGGTCTAGCACCTGAGCCATGGCATGGGGACAAGGTCAACTTAGCCAGATTGCTCCTACGTAGTGTCTACTATCGTTTAGTAACTTTTAAGATCCCAGAGATATGGTTAAAGGTTTTACCCCACATGCCATGCAAATGATCAGCCATGCATTCGGTTAACAGTTTGATGGAATCTAAAAAATCTTGTGGGAAATTGAAAACTTATACGCTGGCGAGGTCAAAGTTTTGTTGCTTATTGTCTAGGCATGCATCTATCTGAAAGGGAAGGGAATTCTCATAGATTTTCGGAGAAGCTTTAAATCGTTTATTTCAATTCAAAGTTGTTTCCTTTTATGTTCGTTTTATTTTCGGGCCTTAGCCAAGTTAACATTTAAATTTTTTTGGCCTATGGAATGCTGTGCGTTGGTCATTTTAAATGCGACATCCAGTTTGAACAATGCTCTCGGCCTGACAATGAACAAAATATTGAACATAAAAAAGCAGCTGGCTAACAATGCAAACTGAATTTGGGCGCTGAACAAAAATAAAACACGTATATATAAAAATGAGTTCGCTAAAAGGGAAACCAGCAAACGGCATTTAGAGGTTAAGGCTTTGGCAGGCAGGCAACAACAAGAAACACTTACTGCTGATTTTGTTGTACCGAAATGCTCAGGCTCATATAATCAACAGATGTTCCGCATAATTTATACAAGATATTTGCATTATATCTGTGCGGCCCAGAGATCATCAGATTGAATTAATGCCAAAGACAAGACGCAGCAATTAATATCAATTTGTTGTTGTTGTTGTTGTTGTTGCTGCTGTTGTTGACCCACTTTCGCGTCCAGGTGCTAACTGGATGTGAGTTGGGACGGTCCGAAGAAGGCTACTGGGGAAAAGTACGCAGCATCGCTGAAACGGAAAGTAACTAAAACATCGCCCGCCCGCCCGTCCGACTTCGGCTAGTTTTGTGGCTCGTGCGTCGGTCAGTGGCATATATGCTGACATCGGCATTACCGACTGCATATTTATGCCTCATTATTTGTTCAGTTTCGGTTTCAATTTCTATTTGCTTGGCGTGGCGGCGGCTTCAGCGACACAAGTCATAAGCTCGAACCACTAACATTTCATACAGACGCGCACGAGATGATGACGGGTGAAAGCGGCCTCTGACTAACTGCGTTAACGTTGTTTGTTATTGTTGTTGTTGTTGTGGTTGTTTTAGTGCTTGTTGTTGTTGGCATTGTCTCTGACAGTGCGCCGGTCTATTTGCCGGCTATTGCTCTTCCTCTGCGTAAACAATTTTGAGCACTGCACAAAAATTTGTTTTCAGTTTTCTTAAAGTTTTTTTTTTTGTTTTTTTTTCGCCACAAATTGCAATACTAATATTTATGTTTTTGGCCATGGTTAATTGTTCCGCCTGAACTCTGGCCGTCCTTATCTGGCCTGCCGTTGTCAATTTCGCCCCAAGCCAATCTATTTTAATGTCTCTATTAACAGGTTTGTCTGTGTTTAAGTTCCTCTGCCCATTTCGGGCGGGTCATTAAAATTGCTGCTCGCTCAAAGCGTGGCCCACGCGGCGCATGGTTAATGTAAATCTGGACAAAAGTGCAATTACGATTGACTAAACTACATTTATATTAGTGAAGTACTGCAAGAGAGTTTGAATGAAAGTCGTTGTCTTGTTTTTTATTTTTCTTTTTTGCATTTAATGGCAATGCAAATTTATAAGCGCCCATATAGAGGACGGCCTTTACTTGAGGACCAGCTCAAATGTTTTTATTCAAATTCTGTTTTCAAATCTAGCTTCAGGAATTTTTAAGGCCGCAGTACTGCTCTCTATTCTCATATTATTTTACTTCATACCAATTATCTTGCCCCAATTGCACAAAAGAAAAAAAGTAAGTGACATAAAGATTTTTTAATAGAAGCTACGTTTTAAATTGGGTGGCTGTTGCTCTGAAAACCTAAGCAATTTGCTGAAAAAATCTTAAATTTGCTAATCATTTATTAAAATAAACAAAAATGTTGTCTTCCTTTTGCACGGAGTTCGATCCCTTATCCTCAATATGCCGATCTTTCGCGCTTTGAGGTGGAAAGTTCAAAATATTAGTCATGGGTTTAGCCCGGCTTATAAACCGGACTTAAGGGGCTTCGTGGTATTCAGACAATTTTAATGGCAACATTTTTTTTTAAATTGAAAATACATACCTGGTTGCCTACCGATTTAGTTACATAAAGAGTCTTCACATTTGTCAAACACATATTTTAAAATTTCATTTAAATTTCATTTCAAGCGTATTTTGAATATTTGAAGGCATTCAAGTATCAAGCTTGCCTGCCAATATGAATATGTGTCAATTTACTTGAGAGTATCTTCTGGTCGAGCACTAACTACTAATACTAACTAACTTTAGCTGAAATTACGCTTAGGCAATGTTTAAGTAAAGCGTGTTTACCTTCAATCTGGCTATCCTTCACATTCTGAGTACCATAAAGTCGTTGTCTCTTTGTATTTGAGCAATTAACGCCTAACATAATTTCAAAATTTAAAAAGGCCGTAGAAATCTATTGTTTTACTTAGACGTTTCTTGAAAAATGCTAGTTATTCTAAGCATAATTAAGATTTGAAGATGCTAATGCTGCCTTGTCATGTTGACTCCCCATTTGGTGGCTTACATAGCATTAATGGCACCTAGCCACAAGTCTGTAACCCCAACTGAACCGCAAATACTCGTTAATCTAAACGAAAAATCGGGCCTTGCTGATGCCAAAGTGCGCATTGTTATTAAAGCACGCTCCATTTTCCTTGAACCAATGGCTGAGAGACTGGCTAACCGGCTGAGTTAAGCTATTAACACAAGACCAACAGCCAATTAATTGGCCCGTGGCAACAGCTCCATTAATTGGATGTGTGCACTCGCATCGTTTCAAGTATGTTATCGATGCTTGGGCAAACAGTTCAGACTTCAAGTGCGCATATCTAATGCACAGATTAGCTATGGTCCATAACTATACTCTGCTATATGTTTTTGTCAGGCTTGGGGTATGCTATCATGGGCATTTTGTAAGAATCCACTCAGAGCTCGGTGCATATTTCATGTCCCACTTGACATGCTAACAATTTAATTTGAACCCAAGACGTTGCAATTTGGTTCACTTGTTGTTGCTTTTGTAGATTAGCTAACAGTCATTTAGGCTCAATATATGCACACACACACATACACGAACTCTCTCACACACACACGCACACAAACACACACAGTGTTTAAAGTGCCTCTAGCATATACATAAGTATTTAAGTGCTTACTACGTTTTTTATTGTAAGCCCGACATAAAAATAAAATTCACACATATGTACGAAATCTGCCAGATCGAGACACTATAACATATATCTGTATATGTTATCTAGAATGTTAGATCCAAGATTGAGTTTTAAGGTATTTAAGAAGTGTATATAGCTCTATAGAATCATAAGCTTTTGTCTTAAAAAAAACATGTGTGTTTTTTAAGATGTGTTGAACTCTGAGCTTCGCTATTTTCCACACATATTTGCCAGACCTTAAGAGTATTTTATCTTTGACATGTCGTTCTTGGCTTTTGCACTAGGAAGTTATGTTCAAATACTTATTACTAAAGCACTTAGGTAATTGGGTTCTTTGGGCTTATGTCGTAATTGCCCCGGTCACGGCATCATTAGCCAAGCAGCATATGTCGGAGCTGTGGCCCCTTGGCATCTGATCTCGGCGACCGGTTAATATATTTCACTCTCTAATTGCAAATTAAGAAAAACATTTAAAAGGTTTCCGCCTCAGTGCACATAATCTTAAAATGTTCAAAGCCTTTTGTTCAATTTAACACCTTGATATATATGAAGGCAGCAACTGTGGGTTTTTACCCTTTGATATGAGAGATACATCAATCAAAATTTCGGCCAACGCGATTTGAATTCGATGCGGGGCATCTTTGTAAGATTGAAAGATATATTTCCATATGTTTGTATACGCATTAGAGTTGTCGTTTATTTGTTGAAACCTTTGCGAAAACTGTGCCACGGGCATTCACGGCCTGTGCCGAGATCTTTTCAATTGGATTGTGTTGGGGCCCAACCCAAATGAATTTTATTATGAAAGCACGATTTCATTTGTATGTAACTTTGTATGGTACTGGTGCTTAAATTTACAGATATTAATCAACATAGAAATATTATTTACTTAAATTTTATACAACATATATTTCCCATAAACTCGCTAATCCCACGCTTTATATACTAACTAAGTGTACCTGTGTATTATATTGAAAAACTATCCTATTCTGTGTATGCTTTTTCTATTTATTTATAGGATTGGCTTGCGGGACGTGCGTTTTTATGTCCGATTTTGGTTTCACCCTCGATTGTAACTTCAAAAAGTCTGGACTGTTTCGTGTTCGAAATTTGGGTGGCGTCAAGGCGCATTTCGGTTTAGGTAAATTCAAAAAGAAAAACACGAAAATTAAACAACTTTCTATTCTAAAATCCTTGCTCAAACTTTAACTATCTGCCCGGTTTTAATAGTAAGTTGTACATACAAGCATTAAGTGTATATAGATATTAATCAAGTGGAGCTAATCGAGCAAAAACAAATAATTTGCAGCATTTAAGTCATCAATGAATTAATGCCAATGCCAATGCCAAGCCGACGAGTTTAGAGTGGAGCAAGAGAGACGCAGCTGCGGTTCAATATCCGTAGCATTAGCATTGATCATTGATCATTGACCATTGACCATTGTCTAACCCTAATACAATTTTTATCTGTAAATATAATGCAAAGCAAGGGATAAAGACAAAATCTGATTTAAATGAACGATTTGGTTGATTGATGGAGCGTCACGACTTCGCAGTTGAGAGCCAGCCTAATCCCACTTGTGTGCTTCCAGGTCTCAGTGTCGGCGATGAGTTGGGCTTCAAAGAATCGCTGGGCAACGTGGAAAGTGATCGCAGGCGCGCTATAAGCTACAGGAACGGAGCACCAGAATTGGTGGGTGTGCTGCCCTCTGCGCGGCAGCAGGAGGTAAGTTTTGCTACGATTCGAACGATTACTGTTTGCTGCAACCACATTTATGCAGGCCAGTGCACCAGTGCAGCATGCTTTGCCGGACAAACGCATTAGTTCACGCTCCACCGGACCCGGACCCTATAATCTGCAGTTGCTGCAGCAGGCGGTGGCCAAGAGTCAAGCCCAGCAGCAGGCACAGCTTATGACAGAGGCACGCCCACTGCCCTTGGGCGTGCCTGCCTTCCGGCCTATACCACAAAAGGCCACGGCCAACGAGCCATTGGCCACGTCGCCGGTGGGCGCCCAGCGTCGCTTAGCCGTGGACACGACGCAGCCACGAGTTAGTGTCAACAACAAACTGGTGGAAAGCCATGTGAAACCGGTGAGCATAAAGTCCATATAGCTCTTGGGTTAACTTGACTTGTCGCACTTTTTTTAGCACTCCAATCGCACTTTCCATGCGGACAATCCGATGGTAGCGCAGCCGATCCTCTCGCAGCCGGTGGCAGTGCCCGTTTTCCAGGCCATGCCCGAGTCCATTGCACGCATTGCCAATGTGGGCAAGGAGGATGTGGCGCTGCCGGAGCAGCGCACACTCGCCAAGCATCCCAATTACTTGCAGTTCGAGGAGCCCAAGTTTGATTTGAAGGACGTGACCGTTGAGGAGCTCGCCGCGGCGGCCAATGTCACAGTCGAGACCATAAAACATGCCATCTATGTGCGAGAGCAGCAGCTGAAGGCGGAGCATCGCGCCATGCTGGCATCCAAGCTGCGTCAAGAATTTATGCGCACATCCACCGTGAAGACAACAACGACAACGACAACAACAACGACACCAAGGCCCAGGCAACTGGCGGAGCACAAAGTATCCAAGGTAGGTTTAATGCAACGAATGATGCAAGATTCTAATAAAGCTTTGGCGGACAGGTCATGAATGCACCCAAGGAGTACTATCCGGTGGGCTATGACAAGAACTTCGATGACAACTTCAAGTCGAAAGTGGATTTGCCCCCCACGAGCTTCTCCTGCGCCAGGCAAAAGCATTTTCCGGGCCTCTACGCGGATACGGACCTGGGCTGCATGGTGAGTCACTAATGATGCACACCGATCTCCGCCAGATCACTAATCATTTTTACTTACTATCAGGTTTTTCATGTGTGTGCTCTTACGGACGACGGCATGGTGCGTAAGTCGTTCCTGTGCCCGGAGAATACGCTCTTCGATCAGACCATACTGAAGTGCAATTGGTGGTTCTATGTCGACTGCAGCTCGAGCACCAGCGTCTACGATTCGAATATACCCATCTCGAAAAGCTATCAGCTGATGAAGTCTCTCACCTATTTCTCCAAGTACAACAACCAGAAGGGCGACCAAGACGGCGACAAGGATGAAAATGCCGTTGACATTGACACGCTGCGCGAGTCCATGGAGGGCGTCTCGCGTCGCCTGGAGCAGGCAAAGAATGCGCAAGCACAACTCGATGAGGTGGAACAGTCGCCGCAGCCAAAGGCCGAACACGAGCATGTTGTGCCCGAGGGCGAGAGCCAGCAGCAGTTGTCCAATTAGGCTAAGACCATATTTAGTTGCTATCTGAGATCTAGGTTAAGTTAAGTTCAAGATCGAGCGTCTCTGGTCGATTTGCCGTACATAGTCAATGTCTTGCGAAAGCCAACGGTTGTCTGTAGTCTCTGGCCAATCATTAATCCTCATTTCCTATGGCAGCGCCTGGTCCTGGGCGCGCTCCTAGCTGTAGTCCCTACCCCACATAGCTATCATTAAGTGGATCATTTCTAGTTTATTTAACTACGTAATCTAGTGCAATTCTAAGTGTTTGTGTGACTTGTGCGGTTAGTTTTACGTTCATAATACTATTTATTTATTATATTTTTGCGACAAAATAAAAAATCGTTATCCCCATAAAAATAGTATATTAATTGCGCAGGGGTAAGTATAGCTTTAAGAGAGCCAAGAAAAGGTTTTTTCAGCATTTGTCAACTTTAAGCTTAATTAATTTAAAGTTTAATTTGCGAAGAGCTTTAAAAGCACTTGGAAGCTTTAAGGAAGATTATTTTCATTGCGTAGATAGATAGATTTTATGTTCTATAAGATTCACATTTCTTTAAAGTATTCCAATAGCTAGTTTTTGAACAGAACTTTAAGACCAAATGCGAGCTTTAAAGCTGATTTAAATAAAAATTTGTAATAACTTTTGTAATAACGACTTTTTGAGATTTTCACTATTTTTTTTTATATATTATTTTGTTGAATTAATCTCATTTCAAGTAAAAAGCCTTCCGATTGAAAAAGCTTCAATGGTTTCCGAATCTGTATCCAAGAATTTGAATTGACATTATCAACCAAATTATACTTACAGACGATTTGTTCGCGTGCACTTCCGTACTATACTCTATAAGGCTCATTGTATAACTTAGAAGGGATCTGAATTTATTAAGTAACTGTCCAAACGCCAGACAAAAAAAATAAATATGTTATTTGAGTTAAACTTAAGTTAAATGCCGACCGCTGACCGTGGCCAAGAGACAGTTAGGCGGCCTGGTGGGGGCCTGGCCTACGACCGCTTGCGTTTGCGTGTAGACGGCGCCGACTCCGCCTCCAGATTGCGGTCGCTCTTGTCGTGAATGTGAACCGCTTCGCTGAGCTCAACGTTGGCGTGCAGCGCCGCATCGTTGGCATTTAGATGCGCCTCCTGAGCGGAGAGTGTTGCCTTCTCAGCCGCCTCGCGTGTTTCCTCGTAGTCCAGACGCGCCGCATAGGCCTGCGATTCGGTCTGCTCCAGTTTGCTCTTGGCCTGAGCGACCATATCGATTTGTGATGACAGCTCGGCGGCTGCCTCAGCGGCCGCCTTCTGGGCCAGCTCTGAGGCGGACTGTGCATTGTTGAGCGCTGCAGTCAGGACGCTTACATGGTTGATCGCCTGCTGGGCGGCATACTGTGCCGTCTTGGCGGAGCGTTTGGCCTGCTGCAGTTGGGTTAACTCAGACTCCACGGCCTTGTGCGCTTCAACAATCTGCTCCTCCAGGCGACGTAGCAGCACTTCCCGGCCCTTCAGTACAGCAACAGCTGTGCCCGCTGCTTGAGCGGCTGCCTGGGCCAGTGTGCTCTTGGCCACATAAGAGGCCTGTTTGCCAGCTGCATTCTGACTGGCCACAGCCGAGCTGGCCTGATCCGCTGAGCCCTTGGCAATGCTGCGCAGGCCATTGTCCACCAGGTAACCTCCGCTACCACTGCTGCTGCTGCTGCCACTGCTGTGACTGCTGTGCGAAATATAATCGGAATTCTCATAATGTGCGCTCAGCTGAGGATGTTGTGGCGGCTCAAACTCATCGTGGTTGATGGCTTCGAATGTGTACGGCGGCACCTCATGATCAATAACAACCGTTTGAGCGGATGCTGCAGTTTTTTGTGGCAACGGGGGCGGCGGTGGTGGCACATTCAAATGGTAATGGGCATCCTTTCGTTTCACCTTGCGTCCAAATGCTGGCACCTCACCTGTGTAGCCGGAACGAAAGCAGCTCCATTGAATACTCATATGCAAATCGTGCGCCCAAAACTTACCAAGCAGCAGCAGCAACAACAGCAAATGCAACATCAGTGACATCTCCAGAGTTTCTGTTTATGCAACGTGGCGGCTGCTGTGAATACGAAACAAACGTTTTTTATATAATCGGATGGCAGACAGGAAGCAGTGGCTGCTGCAGGTGCACGCTGTTCCTGTGGCAAGCCTATTGCTGTTGGCTTATCGAAAGTTTCGTTAAGGGGTTGGACCAAGAGTGCCCCAAGGCAAGCTCAAAGTTTTCCCAACTACCAAAACCGGTAGAGGTAACGGCTTTTGAAAATTTATTGACGGTTTTAACCTTTAAAAAGTCTGTTCGCTGAATCGAAGTCTTGGTGTAATAATGTAACTAAATTCACGTGACCTCGCTGAGGTCAATATACAAAATGTTTGCTACCTAGCTCGATCTACAATATTTCAGCTATTGCTTAGCCTTGTTCAGATTTGCTAGATAAGCTAGCTAGTAAAATTGATCAAGTTAATAAAAAAATGTCAAATGCCAACGAAGATATATAGACAGAAGTGCGACCCGCATGAAAGAGGGGCTTTCTTCATTAAATTACAAATCTTATGTTGTCCACAAGAAATCGAGCTAGATTGCAAAATGTTGCAGATGCTGTAATCCAAACATAATTAATGAGTCCAATCAACAGTTAGCAACAGAGTTATGTGGCAGCCAAATACAAGCTTTCCTTATATGCCATCAGAGAAATTCTAGAATTTCATCTTGTCAATTAACTGTGTCAGTCAGCTTTGGCAGCGATTGGGAGAGCAGAACCAGTTTACTTTTAAGGCCAGCACCGCTGCAGCCACCTTGCAACACACGCACACAGAGAGGCACACAAAACTGGACAGTGGCAACTGGAGGCAACATTTTAAAAGACAGTAATCACTCAATTTGACAGATATCCACACTGCACTTGCACAATCTTAAGCGGCTCGTTGCCCTGTGGACACTTACACGACACTTTCGGGTGGTGCGCGTTGTCAGAGAGGACGTCCTGCGTGGTGCACAGGCGAAACGTATCTAATGCGCGGTCAGCGCTTGAATGCCACACTAGTTGGTTCAAAGTCGATCGGCGGGTTCGTTGGAAAACGCTTTTACTTTCGTGTTGTAGCCAACGGAAATACAACAAAAGCTCCCGCTTGTAGATCCGGTAAACACACGTTGTCAATTGGCGGCGGGCGCCTGGAAGCGGCAGGCATTTATAAGCCAAGTGGCTGGTCGGTTGGGGCGCGTCTCCAGCGGCGACCCGCTCGACTCGTGTGCAATGAAAGTGCAAACCCGTTGCCCGTTTACTTTATGAGTTTGCAATGCAACGCAAATTGCTCCGCTTTGTTGGCGAAAAACAACAGCAGCATAGACAACCACAACAACAATAACAACTACTAGCCGGGTCATTGATTTCTTGCTGGACCATTGGGTAATTTGAAGCTGCTCGCGTGATGATGGTAGCGTATTTTTTAATTGCTTTGCAACGATTTAAACAACAGCTCAAAACTACATATTGAATATGACATCTGCCAGATATACTCGCGCACATATGTATTTGCACAAGGAAGTAGCCCGTGTCCAGGTCAGGTAATTTATGTAATTTTAACTACCTGTTTAACATACACACGGACAATTATTTTAGTGGGAGACAAAGAGAGATTTGAAGAGAGTTTATTAGATTGTCAACAAATGTGTTGTCTTACTTGAATTAATGAGAATCGCATAGAAGGGCAATATTTAAAAAAATTAGATCAACTTGTCAGCTGCTGCTCTACACTGGAATCAGAATATTGCCGTGATTAATATGTTTGAAATATTCCGTAAAGATTTAGGTATGTTCCATACAAGGGTGCAGACTGTTTGGCACATTCAAATAAGATTGATCAGCCAACATCGTTTATTGGGATAATTATGGAATACATAATAAAGCTAATTGATTTAAACGTGAACTACTTCCAGAACTTCTTCATGGACATATTACGCTCAGAGTCCTTCTGCATCACCTTGGAAACGGCCATTTCAAAGTCCTCCTGGGTGACATGGACACGACGCTCGCGCAGAGCGTACATGCCAGCCTCTGTGCAAACACCTTTGACCTCGGCGCCGGAAGCACCTGGCATCAGCTCGGCAATCTTACGAAGATTGATGCCGCGTGTGAGATTCATCTTGCGTGAATGTATATGTAGAATATCAACGCGTGCCTCTTCGCTTGGTGGCGGAAACTCGATTTTACGATCAATGCGACCGGGACGCAGCAGTGCCTGGTCGAGCACATCGATGCGGTTGGTGGCCATGATTACCTTTATGTTCTTGGACGCCTCAAAGCCGTCCAGCTGGTTGAGTAGCTCCAGCATTGTGCGCTGCACTTCCGAATCGGCGCCCCTGCCGGACTCCAAACGTGCCGAGCCAATTGAATCAATCTCGTCCATGAATATGATGGATGGCGCATGCTCCCGAGCCATGACAAACAGCTCACGCACCATACGTGAACCCTCACCAATGTATTTCTGTACCAGCTCCGAGCCGGAGACGCGTATGAATGTGCATTCGGTGTGATGGGCGACGGCGCGAGCCAGTAGAGTCTTCCCAGTGCCAGGTGGTCCATACAGCAGCACGCCCTTGGGCTGGGCAATGCCCAAGGCATCGAACAGCTCGGGATGTTTGATGGGCAGCTCAATGACTTCTTTGATTTCAGTGATTTGCTTGGACAGACCGCCCACCATTTCATAGGTGGAGTCGGGCACCTTTTCGACCATCATCAGCGAGACAAGTGGATCGACCTTGTTTGGCAAAATTTTGTGCAGAGTATAGCTATCGTGGCGCAGGGCCACACGGCTATTGGTGGTCACGTCGTTGATGTCAATATTCTTCTCCACATCGACAACGTATTTGCCATCGTGATGCACCTTAACCAACACCTTTTTCTTATCAATCGGCTTAACAACCTCGCCAACGTAGCTGCCCTGCTCCTGCAACAGCTGCAACTCCTCGCGCAGCATACGCACTGCAGCAGGAGGGTAAAGGGTAGTTGGCACTGGCAGCTCCTCAATTATTTCGCTTACCTTTCGAATTCAGCTCATTTCGCTGAGCCTCCAGACGCTGTAGATTACGCTGCTTCTCGGAGACTATAAACTGCAATTCGGCGATTTTTTGCTCAAAGAATGAGCTGAGCCCGTCCCCTTGTTTATCATTAGGTGGCTGCTTGGCACCCTCAATTTCCATCTGCATTTTTTTCCAAAAATCATAATTATATATAGTCCAACTCCTTTTTAAAAACTCACCGGTACTGACATTTTAAAATGTTTTTCTTACAAAATTTTCTCAAAATGAATAAAAAGCTGTGCACGAGCCCTTTGTCGTCGCTTTGTATGCTTTTATGATTTTTGTTTATATGAGACGGCAGTTTTTAATGTCAGTGTTGGAAAACGTTTGCACTGTGTGATTCCTGTCATTCTAAGGTTAGTGCTTGAAAATGCTTCTTTCCAAACTCGCTAGGTTTTGTTAGTGTTACAGTGGAACTTCGATTATGCGTGCTGCTCAACAATGAGTTCTTTGCATTAACAATTAAATTTGTTTTTTTTTTTCTGCATAAGAATAACATGAATATCTGCTAATTTATGATTAATTGCTCAGCGTTCCAGTCAAAATATGTTCCCATTTAATGGATTTCTGTATGACTTAATTTTATATTGGAAAAAAACGATAAGACTTTAAAGTGTGTTCTTTAATCTTAAAAGTTAACAGAAGCATTAGTTTTGATATGCCAAAGAATTTGCCTCTTGTCTGATAATAACTATTTTTCTCACTTTAATACAAGTAAGCTGCATACTAAGCCGAACCTCAGTTAATTGAATGACGATTTTCTTAAACTGCCACAAAGTATGTTACATTTTGCGCCTAACATGTTTGAAAATGTATGGGTTCTGATAATCTTATTTTATACAACCTTTTTTTTAAATAAAAAAATGGATTTCTGAGAATATTGAATACGTGACAAACAATAGTTAAATGAACCAGACACAATTTGTTCTAATTTGCGCGAATAAGAATTTAGGACCACCTTAGAAATCGCGCTCTTCAATAACTTAGGCATGCCCATTATCGCTGCCATATAGTTCACTTCAATGACGCAACAGTCAGAAACTATATAAAATATTAAGTGCTCACGACTTAATAGGTTTGAGTTATCCACAAACAGAAATTTCGCACATACATATGTAGGAGTTGAAAGTTATTATCTAATCGTGAATAATGCATTGCTCGGGCTTTTCATGGTTCGTCAATAAATCTTCTGGCTGGATCAATATGAAATCACGGCGCGTCAATTATTATTGGGAAAGTCTTAAATCTGTGCAATTTGTTGATAAGATATATTAAAAGCCAGGCGATGTTTAAATATGGAAACAGCAACCAAATGCTAGTGAAAGCAAATAACAACTTTAAGTGTTCCAATATTTGCGTGTTATATTAAGGCTTAGGTATAATTATTTAATACTATGCACAGCAATCAAGACAGATAACAATGAGGTGCAAAAATTTGTATTTTGCTCAACAAAATTCACAGCATTTTGCCAGAAATCAAATTCACAAGCGAATAAATAATGATGGATTGCTTCAACTTAAATGCTAATTAAATATACGGAAAATAATATTTGACTATTTGGCTGGACTGTTGATAATGATGTTGGTGACTTATGCGTGGGTTTTCATTCGTGTTTTTCTCCGCTTCTTTTCATTATAATAATTTTTTGCCTATAAGGAGCGAAACAAGTCGCTGGCCTTGCCAAAGCATGCAAAATTAAGCTAGCCGAGTTTTTGTGAAATAAATACAAAGACTTAAATTAATCTAAGACTAATCGAGGTTATGTCGTCTTCTCGCCCAACTTGGCATGCAGTGTGCTAATATCGTATATAGCCACTAGATCTTTGTTTAGACCCTCAAATACCTGAGCGACACGCGGCTGCAGATTGTAAAAGAACAGCGGCTGCTGACGCTGTGCAAAATCCATGACCATAGTCGATATGACCTTGGCGGCAGTGAAGTCTGCTCCATAGATATGCGTACAATCGATGACAACCGGCAGCG